TCTATACTACGACTCGATGTACCTGGCTCCTTAAGGCGTGTTAACTTCATACCCTGATCAATTACGAAACTGCTCAAGAGTAGTAACAATCATACTCCGGGCCCAGGGTCTGGAAACCCCAACTGGGACAGGTGCGGAGCCCGCGGGCGCAGGAGGGGTTCCGGGGGGTGGCCGCGGGTGCAGGAGGGGTGGCCGCGGGTGCAGGGGGGGTGGCCGCGGGTGCCGGGGGTGCAGGGGGTGGGTTCTCCCGGCCCCTGGCCGCTCCGCTCGGTCTGGCAAGCCGGTTCGACAGGGCGGCGTGCTCCGTGCGGGTCTCTGGCTGTGACGAGGGGCGAGCGCGGGAAGCGGGGACAGTGGTCATTTTGACCCAAGGGATCGCCTTCAGTTCGGGGCAGAGGACCTCGCGGCGGGCTGTCGCCGCGGTTTCCCTCCTGCACCTCCGGGTCCGGGTCCGGGTCGGCGGTGGCTGTCGGTCCCTCCTGACCGCCGGGAGGAGGGTGTGGATGCCGAGGAGGGAGGACGCGCCGGGGCGGGACTCGCAGGCGCCTCCCGGGACCTTGGGTCGGTCCCTGGCCCCAGACACGTGCCCTTATCAGTACTTGAAAGGTGACTCCTGTGACCTGGAAACAGTTCTTAGTCTCATTTAATGTTAATTTAAATTTTAAGACCAAAGCAGCGCATGCGTAAGTACTTAGTTGCCGGTGGTCCTTGTGACGCGTCGGATTGAATAAAGTGAGTTACTGCATGAAACCCCGACCGCTCTTCCTGCTTCCACGCTGCCCACTCGCGGAGTTGTGTTTCTCGGGACAGACATTCCCAGGTCCCGATGGCACTTTGCTGGGCGAGGCTCTTAGCGTCCTATCAGCAACTCGGTAGGGATTCTTTGAACGTTGAAAATGTAAACTGATTTGTGAATAGTTTTAGATTTTCAGGAAGTTGGCCGAGATGACAGTTCCTGTGTGCTCTGCACCTAATTTCTCTTCTCTTTTCTAGACATCAGTATAGGCTCAGGCCTTTGTAAGGAAGCAGGTTCACTCGGAGGTTGAAGCCTAGATTCATGGGCGGGGGGACCGCCCACGCTGGAAAGTTCTCGGTCTGCAGCCTCTTTCTTCCCTTGCTGCCCCCTGGCACTCCCTGTCTGTCTGCAGCTCCCAGGTGTCTTCTCTGGCTCAGTCCCGGCTCCCACCCACCTGCCATGGCAACTTGGTTGCTATGGGCACCAAGGGTTCCCTCGCCCAGGCAGAGCCCCAGACCTCACTTGTCCTGGCCTTGCCAGTGTCACTGATGTTCAGTTTCTGTGGAGCCACCGGACACACCTGCCGTCACCTGTCACTTCTCAGTGGCTTTGCTGGGTCCCGGCCCCTTCCACCAGTTCCCAGCATTCGGATGCCGTCCATCTGTGCCATGATCGTGGGAACCTGTCCTCATCGTCCCATGTGCTGCTGGGCATTTAAACTGTGCTTAGTGTGACTGGAGAAGTGAAGTTTCAATTTTATTTCATTTTCTTTGTTTTGAGTGAAGTAGCCACAGGGCTAGTGGCTACTGTTGGGCAGCACAGTTCCAGACGTGGCCTCCCCATCAGCGGGCTGTGGCTGCCCTCCCACAGCCGCTCCTTCCCATCACCTGCTTCCTTTCTCTGTCACTGGTCACCTGCTGTTACCAGTCTGTCCCTGCAGAACAAGCTGCAGAAGGGCTTTGTGTGTCTGTTTTGCTCCCCGCCTGGTCACCCACAATAGGCCTGGCACCCGGCTCTGGGGTGGATGAGGGCCTTGGCTCCTGTTCTCTCCCCGGACAGCGAGACCATCTTGTCGGGAAGTTCTCCAGGGTGGCATGCGAGGCGGGTCACAAGGACATACTGTCCTGTTTCAACGTTAGGCGAGAACCGCTCTCCCTGGTCAACCTTCGGAAGAGGCACTCGGGCTCAGGAGACGAGGACTTGGCGTCCAGGATCGACAACTACAAAGCCAAGGCCACACGGCACATCTTCCTCATCAGGCACTCCCAGTACCACACGGACGCCCCCCGGGAAAAGGACCGCACCCTGACACCCCTGGGTATGTGGGGGGCTGAGCCCCGACGGGCCCCTGCGGCCGGCCTCCCTGAGCCTGTTGGCCCAGATTCGAGCATTGTCGTTATCAGCAGTTCTCAGCCTCTGACACAAGACCGGCTTTGAAAACGCCCTCAACTTCAAATATTGCAAAGATATTGTGGGTGTGGTTCCAGGCCATGGCAGTAAAGCTGGTTGTAATTTTTTTGCTGGTGGAGGGTCTTGCCTTCAATTAGTAAAAAAAAGCAAGGTCTGTGCAGCACAAGAAAATGAGGTTGCCCGTTGCCGCAGGCAGCGACACCCGTGTTCACATCTGTGGGGCTCACATAGCCAGTGGGGCCACAGCCTTCGAGCCTTAGTCTTTGGACAAAGTCGAGACAGATTGGTGTGAGGGACTCAGGGACAGTAGGCAGGGCCCACCCAGATGTTAGCGACCCTCTACCTTCGTCATTGTCTAATGGTTTTTTTCTGCCTGGGACTGAAGGTCACTAGATCGACTCATTGTTACTTGGTAAGGACTGAAGTGTTTGTGGGGTGCACAGGAGGGACTCCAGCAGCATGTAATCCTCATGTCTCACCTTCAAGGTCGTGAACAGGCTGAGCTCACTGGTCTCCGACTTGCAAGCTTAGGGTTGAAGTTTAATAAAATCGTCCATTCCTCCATGACCCGCGCAGTAGAAACCACCGACATCATCAGCAAACACCTGCCAGGTGAGTGGCCGTCCCGGTGCCTCCGCAGCTTGAAGGGACACCCGGGGTCTCCGCTGATCCCTGCTGCTCCGCAGGTGTCTCCACGGTCAGCACCGACCTGCTGAGGGAAGGCGCCCCCATCGAGCCGGACCCGCCCGTGTCTCACTGGAAGCCGGAAGCTGTGGTAAAACGCCCGAGGACAGTGGTCTCCCTTCCCTTGCTGCCCCCTGGCACTCCCCTCCTCCGTCCACTCGGGCTGGCAGCCTCCAGGCTTAGGTGCCTCTCTCTGCCCCCAGCAGTATTATGAAGACGGAGCCAGGATCGAGGCCGCCTTCCGGAACTACATCCACCGGGCAGATGTCAAGCAGCAGGAGGACAGTTACGAGATCTTCATCTGCCACGCCAACGTCATCCGCTACATCGTGTGCAGGTGAGGGGCCCTCGGCCTGGCCTGCCTCGGGCCTTCCCACTGTCCTGGAGGGCGCGTGTCTGGAGTTTCTCGTGAGCGTGTGTCTGGGCAGCAGTAGCCTGGGTCCTGTCCCGGGTGGTGTGAGCGTGGCCCTGGTGAAGGCACCGTTCCGTGTGTGCTGCACCTGTCCCTGCACAGTCGTGTCCCCCGCGGTGGCGACGTGCCCACATCCTGTTTCCTCGGGTTCGCACCGACCGAGTCCCCTGCTGCACGGCTGGTGTGTGCCGCGGTCTGTCCTTGTTACCATAGTTGCAGGAGCCAGTCTCTGCCTCCCTTTGCGTGTATCAGGTGGGCTCTGGGGCCTTCATTTTGTGCTGAGTCGCACCCACCTCCGTAGTCACCTTGCTGCTCCGCTGCCAGTCAGGGAACTCCTTCCCCGGCTTCGGTGCCCGTCCTTCCTGGCTGCACAGAGAGTCCCAGGACCCTGGTGACGTGGGCCCTGAGCAGCAGCCAGTGTCAGTGACTGGAGGTGGGGCAGCCAGCTGGGTGCAGCTGGGTGCTGTGTATTGAAAATAACTGAGGAACCCCCCCCCCCCCAATCCATTAGAAAGTGTCAGGCACTCCCATCACTGAGGGGCTGCCCTCAGGACAAGTCCAGCAGTGGCAGGACAGGACACATGTCAGCCAGCTGCCCAGGGCCTCCACTCGGCCTGCTTGACCCTGGGCCTGTGGCCTGGGCTGTGGGCAGCCGTCTCCCCTCAGATGTCACCTGCCCAGCCCCAGTGAGGGCCAGGGGTTCAGCTCACTCGGGCTCCCAGCCAGACCCATGCTCTGGGGATGAGGGGCGCCTGGGCTCCACGCCCTTCACTCCAGTGCTCTGGGGGCCCAGCCTCGGCGCCTGTGCTCAGTGCACATTGTTCCCGGGCTGTGCTGCTTGCTGCTCTGGGCACCTGAGGGCAAGCTGCCTGGGGGCTGCTGTGCTGTGCTGTGTGGACAGAGCGTTATTCACATCCTGGGACAGGTTGGCCTAAGCAGTCACTGCTGGGTGACCCCCATGCTGCAATGGCACCAGGAGTGCTTGGGGCTTGGAGTAGGGGTGACCTGTGAACTAAAGGGCCAGAAAGAGCCAAGGCATCTCCGTGGTGACTGAGGGCAGACGCTGAGGACAGCGAAGGCCACACGGAGACTATGGAGCAGGAAGGTTATTCCTTGACGTTGACAGAACTCATGGTGGCTGCGGGTACAGGGTAAGCCGGGGCCATGCTACTCGTCCCCAAGCTCTGGGCACGGAGGATGCCTGGTGCCCCAATAACACTGGGCTTTTTAGTAAATACTAACCATGCCTAATGGAGAGCAAGGAAAGGCTCCGTGGCTGGGAGCTGTCCCTGCCTGCCTCTCACAATGGAAACAAATCGTGTGCACTTAGAGGAAACCAGTGTGTTTCTGACTCATGGGCAGGTCATGACATGTGCGATGCAATCCCATAAATGCTGTCACTCGGCCCAGCGCCTGGTCTGCAGGCGGGGCTAGAGCTCGGCGATCCCTGCAGCACATTCTCCCCCCTCCTCTCCCCAGGGCACTGCAGTTCCCTCCAGAAGGCTGGCTCCGCCTCTCCCTCAACAATGGCAGCATCACCCACCTGGTGGTCCGGCCTGACGGCTGCGTGGCGCTCAGGGCCCTCGGGGACACAGGGTTCATGCCTCCAGACAAGATCTCCCGCTCCTGAGCCCCACTCTCCTCACCCGTGCCCGGCTCTGGCATGGGAGCCACCAAGAACACGGAGACCGTGCCTCCGTCCACTCCACAGGCTGCGCTGGGTCACCTCATTTCTCTAGGACCAGGCGGAGGCGGGTGAGGTGTCTCAACTGCCGCGTGTCATTCTGGCCCAGGATGGAAAGCGGAACGTGCTGGTACTTTGGCGAGGTTTCCTGCCCAGTCTCACCCCCAGGAGCCTGTGGGGTGAAGGCCTCCTCACAGGTGTCACCGTGGGGACCACAGCACCTGCAGCAGCCACACGACCCCTTGAGGCACTCAGCAAAGCCCGCCGGCACCAGGGACTTGGGGAGCCCAGCATTTCCATCCATAACTTATTTCGCTTCGTACGTTCTTCACATTCTTAAACCCTTTCGTCACTTTGTTAAATATTTTTCCATCTGGTTCTTGGGTTGAGAACCAATGTCTCACTCCACAGTCTTGCATCCCTGATGCTGTTGGGTGTGAACACACTTGTGTTATTAGGCCTCTCTGGACACAGGAGCACCTGGGCAGGTGAGAGGGGATGCCACCTGCTGGTTTCACAGGAGAGGGGCCAGGTGGGGATAGCAGAAGAGTCCTGTTTCAGTAAAATAGCTAGCCGACAGCTCATTCTGTGTGCCTCTGGCTGTTAAACTTTCATGCTTATGGATTAATATATTTGAACAATGATGTGTCCATCCCAAATATTTACAAAAACGGTGTAATTTCTATGAAGTGGTTATGAACATTTTCTGCAGTGCAACTAAATGGGATGTCTGATCCATGTCTGTCAACTTTGGAAATAACTACAAAATAAAACTTTATTTTACTGGTTTTCAAAGTGCTAATTGTGAATGTTTTAAAAAAGCCTGACAAAGGCAGCCCACACTGGCTGACACCCAGGAATGAGGCTTTGCTGGGCAGTTGCCACCAGAGGCCTTGGTGACGGACCCTGAGCCAAGACTGAGTCTGACGAAAAATGGCGTTTTAGAAGCAGCAACCACATGCACCGTTCCCAGGAATAGTTTTGACAGCTAAGCCAGGATCTGTGCCAACTTCTAGAAACACAAATGTGACAGGTGCACTCACGTCTGACCTCAGGGTGAGCCCTGGACCCCAGGAGCTACAGGCCTGAAGGGGGAGGGGGCGGCAGGCCCTCTTACCTGTCCTGTCTTCAGACCTTTTTATTTTTTTTATTTTTTTTTTTTTTCTTTCTTTTTTTTTTTTTTTTAAATATATATTTTATTGATTTTTTACAGAGAGGAAGGGAGAGAGATAGAGAGCTAGAAACATCGATGAGAGAGAAACATCAATGATGAGAGAGAATCATTGATCGGCTGCCCTCTGCACACTCCCTACTGGGGATTGAGCCTGCAACCCAGGTACATGCCCTTGACCGGAATCGAACCTGGGACCCTTCAGTCCGCAGGCCGGCGCTCTATCCACTGAGCCAAACCGGTTTCGGCTTCAGACCTTTTTAGTGGCATTTCTGCCCTTTGTACAACCTGTGAGAAGCAAGGCAGCCTCCCAGAAACCAGAAATGAGCCCCCTCAGGGGGGACGCAGTTAAGGAGTGGGAGGAGGGTGTTGGGCATGCAGTTCCAGGGCCCAGTGACTGGTGGAAACTGTCCCCTGAGGTAGGACAGGTGACCAGAGGCTTCTGAAACAGAGGTCACCACACCCGAAGATTGGCCATCAGGAATCCATGTGCCATGAGGGACCAGGCCGACACCAGTGGGAGGCAGGTTGTTTGTGCTGCTGCTGCTTGGTCCTAGATATTCCTGCTGAGGGGGCTGAAGGCATAGCACATGGTGTCTGCACGTGCGAACGTCCGTGTCAGGGACAGGAAAAGCCTGTGCCTCCAGCAGTCCAGTGAGTGCGCCCGGCTCAGGGGACGTTCAAAACTACACCCAACGGGCAGGCACCCCACAACCCACCCTTTCCTCTGGAAGCTGTGGAAGCTTCCGGAAAGATGTAAGTTATTCAGAGGATCTGTCTGTGGTCCTTGCACATGGGACGGACACTCACTTGACAGCAGAGAAAGCCTCCCGGGCCCAGCACCCCAACCCACCGAGAAGCAGCTCACAAGTCACCTCTTCCCAACGACAGAAACGACACACCGACTGTCAGCATCACAAAGGCAGGGAGGAAATCTGTGTGGATTTAACCGATGCCACAACGTTGTTCACAAGTGTGTTAGGAATGAGGTGAGCAGTTTCACCAAACACTAGGGCATTTGGCCGGGTAACAGGTGAGAGGTCTTTCTGAAATCTTGAAATTATTACCACATGGTTTTAAAAAATTGGTTTCATTAAGTAGTTTTACAAAGATCATCACTGGGACTCGGCCACCTGACAGAAACACATGGGGAATAAAGGCCAAAGCCTCACAAAACAGGAACAGTCGTCGCAAGATTACAGCAAAAACACTACTTTAATCTCATTGAATATTTACAGCAATATACAGCACAGTAGGGTAAGATCCAGGAAAAACAGATCAGCACTGTGAATATCTGCATTCTGACTTCTGTTGAGAACAGATGCCTTTTAAAATGCCATTGGATTTTACAATAGAATGTTATTTTCTGTCTTCTATCTAGATTGTTGGCCACACTAGATGTGAAAACACCTTGTTAACAACCACTAGAATTTTTAAATCTAAATCTTGATGCTAATATTCCTGACCTGCCTCTTGTTATCGTGTGAAATAACAATTTTTATGAATGAAAAAGAATCTCACACCTACTTAGTATCACTGTACATCCTCAAAAACAAGCTCAGAAAAAATAAAAAATGATTTACAAAAGGCACTGGAGTCAGTTAAAGCACAGGTAGAGTTTTCTGTCCCTGGGCATCCGGTATGGGCCGGGGAGCTGTGGTGACCCCCACACCCTGTGCACACAGACAGGGGACGGAGGACCCTTAAAGTAAACCACACTCGAGTAACTAAACCAGGCTCAAACCTGCCGAAAGTCGCCCTCTAGTTTCTGTACTAAAAGGTGACATGTTATAAAGGAACTCCAACTGAAGTGAATTCTAAAATAGGAGATAATTTCAAAACCAGGGAACAACTTACAGGTCACCCCACCCCCACTGCACTGGCAGCAGAGCACACGCGGCTCAGTGCTGGCGGAAACACCTCCTGCTGCGGCGAGTCCTGCCTACCACTCGCCTCCCAATGGCTACAGATTTTGCCCAAGAGAAAGAACAGCTTTAAATTCATCTAACCAAGGAGAACCCAAAAGTGAAAAACCCTCCCTGAAAAGGAAGGTGAACAAAATTCACCTTCGTTTTCAGAACGGAGTTGAAGTGAGCATGGCTGTGGCAGGGGCTGGCCCTGCATGGCCATCACCGCCTCCGGCACCCACTGGGATTCGTGGGAATGCGAGCAGCGAGCTCCCGTCCCACGCGCACCAGGATGTAACCGGTCTGCATCATGACCATGTTCAGTTTTCAGAAAACTGGTATCCGCGTTTGCTTTCATCAACTTCTCTCAAAATGCCAGAAATCTATGTTTTACATGAAACATTTGCATTTTCTAAAATTCTTACTCTCAAAATGAGGATTAATAAATGAATCAGCATATATCCTTTTTCTGTGAATTTTAGCAACACACACATTAGCCTTCGTTAATGAGGCGAGAGCCCAGCACACGCACAGCCTACAAGGCTGCGTGCTGGGCCAGGCGCACCATCCTGCGGAGGTGGCCCCCGTTGGCAGGGCTGTAGCGCCCCGGGCTGCCCAAACGGGGGGAGTGGGGGACAGAGCCAGGCTTCCTGGGGCTGCCGCCTGCGGGACCACTTCTCCCTGGGCTGCAGCTAGTCGGGCAATCGAGATCCGGCAGCTGAGATGTCAACTTCCCTTTTATCGAGGGGCTCGGCCAACTGAGGAAACCAAGAAAGGTCTGTCAGCACGGACGGTGGGGGTGTGGGGAGAGTGGAGGCCACAACAGGACCTGGGCTCCTGCTCCTGAGCCTAGGCTCCACTGTGGCTCCAACCAGAGGCCCTTAGAACCTCGCAACACTGGCCCTGAAGACTAACAGCTCATGTGACTGTCCACGTGAATCCCACATGACCATGACCAGGAACCCCGGGCACCCTCCCTGCAGCCTCCCTGTCAGCAGCACCCTTCTGTTCTCGCACCCACTACAGACCTCCCTCCCATGGTGCCCCAGCCACGGCCGCACATGGGGAGCTACACGCTAGCGTGGCAGTGTCCTGGGGAACCACAAGGTGCACGTGGGTCAGAATCAGTCGCTCTGGACGCTAGTACCAGCAACCCCTGGGCCCGTGGTACCTCTGCCTGTCGGAGGGTGGGTAGCCCAGGACAGCGCTCCTCCACCTGTGCACGGCAGGGTGCCGCTGAGGGTCCAGGTCTGCACCCTCCAGAGCTGCCAAGACGTCGCGATCCAGTTTGGACGGCTCCTCCCTGCACGGCGTCATAGAGAAGAGAACGTGTGTGACTAAGAGACTTCACACCCCTGCCTGAACTCAGGAACCCAGCCCGGTGTAGGCGCTGGTCCCCTCCGCCCCAAGACCCGCTGTGAAAATGCAGTCCTATTTCCACTTCTGAGAACCATCAACCTGGACAGGCCACCTGGGAGGCGTAGACTAACCCCAGGCCTTTCTTCCTACAACAAGCTATATTCTTAGGACGTTCCAGTCATTCTGGGGGCAACCGTTTCCCCAGGAAGGACAGCAGCACAGGATGAGCTAGAAAGGACGTGTTCCCACCAGCCTGAGACCCAGGCTACGGGCAGAACAAAGCTTTCAGAGCATCAGTCAGTGTCACACGCGCACCCCTTACTCCACATCACTGCGCTCAGACCCGTCCCACAGCCACCCACATGCTCACACACCCACTCATACCCCAGAAGGAAGAGCCTCCGGACAGGCTCCTTCCTGGCGGCGACCCCCAAGGGCTCCGAGGACGCAGAGGTGCAGCTGTGCTGGGCCTCATGGCTGGGGCGGCGGGGACCCAGGCACAGGTTTGCAATGCCCGCTGACATCTCGCTTTCCGTCCTTGCTTGGTTGCTTCCGAGTCTGTCGGCAGCAGAAGGCTCGACCACGTCACTGTCCACCACTTCCGTTCCTGACGCCAGGATCTTCTCATCTCTCGTTTTCACACTTTTATTTGGTGTCTCGGAAAACCCACTTCCTAGATTCTGCAATTTGAGCTTGTCGAACTCAACAGTCAAGCCAGAGACAGGTGACGAGAGGGCTTCCTCCCCGCTCGCGGCCTCTGTCCTCTTCCCACGCTGGGTCTGGCCACCGCTCAGGGGGCTGCAGAAGCCATTCCTGCTGCTGTGGGGACAGGGCCGCACCTCGTCTTCTATAAGGTTCGTCCTCTGCTCCGAGGGAAGGATGTCGCAGCCCGAGTCTCTGGAAGCCCTGACTGTGGGCTGGCTGTTGTTTCGAGCTGTGTTCTGCCAATTCTTAATCTCTTCCAAGCTCATGTCACCGTCTTCATCGAGAAAGGCCCTCACAGAGATGGAATTGCTGCACTTCCCACGACAGCCTGTGAGGGAGACAAAGTGGCTCCTCAGGTGCAGGTAACAGAGCAGCACGACATGCACTCGGCCCAGCTCAGACCCCACAACCAACCCCTCTCTCATCAAAGCCTCCTCCTCAGACACAAGACCAAACCACCCACCTGCTCCAGGGAAAGGACAAGCAGGGTGAGCAAACAGCTTCCAGGAAAATGAGAAGGAAGCCAAAGCCAAAAGCAGCCACAGGGAGGGGTGGGCTGATCTGCGGAACCCAGGGCACTGAGCCTGACGGGCAGAGGAGCCGCAGGCGCTCCCGCATCCGCAGGGACGTGCTCTTGGTCGGGACCACAGACAGGGCCCAGGTCCTGTGAGCACAGGGATGCCCTCAAGTCCTTACCCAAGGTAGAAGCCTCGTTTTCTCCTAGGTCTTGTTGGGCCTTTCTGCCCACTTCCTGCTGTGCAAGGTATTCCTCCAGCTTCTGCAGGCCCTCCTGGGAAGACAGGTCAGCAAAACAGCCCAGAAAGTCCCAGTACTCGACCCAGGGGTACCCCAGCTCGTGAGCCAGGTGCCTGTGGGAATAAAGCACAGTGAGAGCTGTGCAACCAAAGAAAAAACTCCCAGAGCTGCTCACACAGCAGAGAGCCAGTTAAGGAAGAACCCCACAACCAGGACACACCTGCACAGCACACCCTAGAGGTAAAAGGCAAAACAGCAAAAACAGACCAATCTTTAGATTTAATAAAACAGTGACGAAAAGTTGGATAGGATTCTGGTTTTGGCCAGGCATACACAATTTATTAGTTCTTTTCAAGTTCAAGCTATACACCTGAAACTGGGCACAGCTTTTGTGAAAAAGTTCTAATGCTTTTTAAAAAATTCAATGACACTTTATTTGATTACACTGTAATTTGGCTCCCTGATTATGACTTCTAGTTTCTAGCCACCTGAGTCTTGTGTTCTATTTCCTCCCTCATTGCCAAGGAAGCACCCACTGTAGGGCACCTCACTCCAAACTCTGCCACCCCAGACAGAGGCGGCAGGCTGTCCCTGGGGAGGGACTGCAGCAGGTACGAGGTGGGCTACGAGGTGGGCCAGGAACCGGAGCTCCAGAAAGAGGTTTCCTGGGAACTCTGGCTCTCACAGCAGACGTCCCGCTCCCCCCGTCAGCACAAGACTTCCCCACGCGGCTGTCCCTCCTGCGACCTTCCTACCTGCCCGCTCTCTCCATGCCTCTTTCTGGGTCCGACTTCCTGACCCTGTGGAAGAAGCCTGCTTTCTCCCGAGGCGGGGTTTTCCAGAGCCTGCGAAAATCTTCCGCCTACGAGGAGAAACCGTGTGAGCTGTGCTGGGGGGCAGCGAGGCGCTCGTGCTAGAAGCTTCCACAGCAGCTCACCTTGGCTGGACTCATGGGCCCTGCGAAGGCTCTCAGGATCAGGGCGGGGTCTCTGGGGCTGCCTCCACCATGGCTGACGTGAGAGGTCTCCACCATCTGGTCTGGAGACCACAGCTCCCCGATCACGGGGGACGACGTGTCCTCCGCCCTCAGGAGAGGCACGTAGTAGTGACCTGGGAAGACACCAGGGCTGACCCACCTGCTCAGACGGCTCCTCACCTCCGGGCGTGAGAAGCCACACACGCAAAGCCGTGCTATTCCCGATGAAAGGCTGCCCATCTCTGGAGCTGAAGGACCTGGCGAGAGGCCAGCCTGGGCCGGTCTCACTGAAGGAGCCCACACTCTCCCTCTGCTGGGAAGTAAAAGGGAGGAAGGAGAGTGCCAACAGCGCCTCACCTCAGGTGAGAAGGGCTGAGAGGCAGGACTGTGGGGACAGGATCAGCCCGCATGGGCAGCAGAGAAATGTTAAAAAGAAGGTACATTTCGCTTCTCCCTTTCCAATTCCCTACAGGTCACGTCTTGAAAAGCTGAGCAGGCAATCCAACTCTGGGCCCAGAGTGATGAGACCCAGGGCCGGTCAGGCCGCAGAAGTGAGGACTGCCCGGGGAGCAAAGGGAGGAGCGGCCTGGCCTGGCATAGACACGGACGATAGGGAGCTCCTGACGAACAACTGAGCAGCCAGGGAGCTCAGGCGCCGCCTCTCCGACCTGCTTCTACCTGAGAAAGGTCAGACACACCTGCTACACGAGTGGCCTGCAGAGGGTGAGGGGTGAGGCCATGAACAACAGGCATCAAAGGAGGCGTTATGTCAAGACAGAGCTGGAACTCGAGCTGGGCGTGCAGGAAACAGTGACTATGACGAGAGCTGCCAAGTGGAGCTCGCCCGCAGCCCTGGCTTCACTCCCCACACAGCCAGGCTTGGACGCTGTCCGGTCCTGCCCAACAATGGGCCTCACACTCCAGCACCGATGCCCCTCCTTACCCTTTAGATATTCTCTAATTCGTTCCTTTAGTTCCACAGATTTATTTTTGCTTCTTTCACAAATAACCTGTTTAAAAAAACACAGAGTTATGTGAAGTTCATTCTAAATCTCAATTTATCACATTTTCTTATCATTAAAATTTTATAAAACCAAGTTTCTAAGTCAACAAAATAAGAATAGTATCTTATACTCAAAGAATAAGAATAGTATCTCAGGCACAAAGCCCACAACCAAAAACCGTGCGCTGAGCAGTACACACTTACTTCTAGAACATTTGTAACAGCTTAAGGGGCCAAGACAGGTAGAGAAACTCAGATTATGGGTCACTTTTATTTCCTTTCTCATGCTGCTCTACACCTGCTCATCTCCTGCACGGAAAAGAAACCGTCGAGCGCACTATCAAGTCAGAGCAGAGGCACACAGCCAGGCTCACAACCTTCAGTGCTCTGAGTCTGCTGTTGGCAGCGTTGACACAGAACACCTGTGTAGCATGGGACACACATATTTGCTTTTTGCAACTCCAGGAATGAACTTTGTCAGCCCTCGAAGAATTGTAGTGACAAGAACATTTTTGCTAGAAGAAAAAACACCCAATAACCTCAAATAAGGAAGGAACCACAGAATTACCATCTCCTGCCAACCTGTGAGAATTCATCTACAGTACAATTGTACAGTGTATCCTGGGACTCGAGCAACTATGTTTATAAGTCTGTAACTAATTGTGAGCGATGCCAAATGCTTTTAAAATGTGTTACAAAACAGCAATTTCTATTGAAAAAAATATGCCCGCTAGTGTGGCTCAGTGGTTGCCACAAACCAGGTCACCAGTTCAATTCCCAGTCAAGGCACATGCCCCAGTTGTGGGCTGGATCCCTAGTAAGGGGTGTGCAGGAGGCAGCTAAACAATGATTCTCTCTCATCAATGTTTCTATCTTTCTATCCCTCTCCCTTCCACTCTCTCAAAAAACATTAAAAAAATGTGTGTGTGTGTGTATACAAGCACACACACATACATACACACATTTAAATGCACAGAAAATGTTGAATCAGACATATGCAAAATCATGCTAATTTCTGAATTGCATGATTGTCTAAATTGTATTCTTTTTATGTATATTGTAAAGAAAGTGCGCACTATGTAGCCACAGCAATTACAAAGAAGGCGTTCGCTACCTGACAGGTTCTATTTCTAAAGGGCTGGCAGATCCAGGGCCGCTAAGAGCTCTAACCCATGGTCAGGTCCACTTCCTTCTCCACTTCACAGGCACAGACACACCTCTGGCCTTTCTAAGGCACATTATGCTCAATTGCCAGAGTCTAGATCACGACAAGGCCTGCTGTGTAAGGCTTGTAAGGGTCAGGCAGGAATGTGTAGGCGGGGCTAGGACAGCCCCTGGTGCCCCCTGAACTGAACACATCATCACCATCACCACCACCATCACCCTCACCCTCACCCTCACCATCATCACCATCACCATCACCCTCACCCTCACCCTCACCCTCACCCTCACCATCATCATCATCACCATCACCCTCACCATCACCACCACCACCACCATCACCATCACCCTCACCCTCACCACCATCACCATCACCCTCACCCTCACCCTCACTACCATCATCACGACCATCACTACCACCTCTTCTGTTCTCTGACCCTGGTCAACTGAGGTCTGTACAAAGGGCAGTTGATATGAGAGTAAAATACAATCAGCACACTGGGGCTGCTCATTCCTCAGCAGACAGGTTCTGAGGAGTGCCTGTGAGGCACACACATTCACAGTCAGTTCCTCCTGACTTCACAGTGGCTGTGATCACAGACTGTAAGTTTACAGATTTTCATTTCTGACACCAGACAGTAACAGCATTTTACCAGGTACTCACATTTTCAGGTGTTTTACCACATTTATTCCGGGGGCATTTTGCAATCAAAGGGTGTGAAGAAAGCACGTTGACCACATCTGCATTCCCAAACTTACAAGCAAAATGCAACGGTGTGTCGTTGCCCTGAGAGATACAGAGAAAGAACAGTTATTTCTTTTTTTTAATTTTTTTTTATTTTTATTTATTTATTTATTTATTTTTTTAAAAATATATTCCATTGATTCTTCACAGAGAGGAAGGGAGAGGGATAGACAGTTAGAAACATCGATGGGAGAGAAACATCGATCAGCTGCCTCCTGCACATCTCCCACTGGGGATGTGCCCGCAACCCAGGTACATGCCCCCAACCGGAATCGAATCCGGGACCCCTCAGTCCGCAGGCCGACGCTCTATCCACTGAGCCAAACCGGCCTCGGCCTTTTTTTTAATTTTTAAATATGTTTTTTAAATGATGACAGAAAGAGGAAGGGCAAGAGAGGGAGAGAGAGAGAGAGATAAACATCAATGATGAGAGAGAATTATTGATTGGCTGCCTCCTGCACACCCCACACTGGGTATTGAGCCCACAACCCAGGCACGTACAATGCCTATTACTCAGCCATAAAAAAATGAAATCTTGCCATTTGCAACAACATGGATTGATCCAGAGGATATTATGTTGAGTAAAATAAGTCAGAGAATGACAAATGCCATGATTTCCTTTTTATGTGGAATCTAAAAAACAAAATAAACGAACAAGAAAAACAGAGACAGACTCAGGTACAAAAAACAAAGTTACGGTTGCCAAATGAAAGGGCAAGTTTGAGGGCTGGATGAAAAAGATGAAGGTACAAATTGCCTGTTATAAAAACAGTCATGGGGATGTAAAGTACAGCACAGGGAATACAGTCAGTAATACTGTAATAAATATGTATGTGTCGGACACTAGACTTATCAGGGGGGTCACCTTTATGTAAGTTACATAAATGTCTAGTCACTATGTTGTACACCTGACACTAATATAATATCGTATGTCGACTGTAACTGCAAAATAAAAAAATTAGTAATATTAGGGGACCACGTTGTAGAGTATCCGATTATCTAACCACTATACTGTACACCTGAAACTAATGCAAAATAACTGAATGTGAACTGTAATCAAAAAATAAAATTTAAAAAGAAAAAATTTATTAAAAAAAGAGAAAATATTAGAAAGTTAAAGCCACAAACAACGGTCCACCCGAGTCCACGATGCTTCTCAACTCCCTGCAGCTGCACCTCCCATGCTGCCTGCAGCCCAGGGGCCTGACAGTCACAGCTCCCTGGTGTGTGTGTGTGCGCGCGCGCGCACACATGCGGCTGTTTTCCAACCGTCAGGAGCTCAATGAATGCACGTCTCCTTCCTGGCCCTCCACATGCACTGACAAAGTACAGGGATTAGGCAAATACTCAAAACCAGAAACACGAGTCTTGGTGTAACTGAGACTGGCTGTTACGTCACTGAAGAAAGAGAAGGCGCCACACTCACCCCCTTGTCGGGCGTGTTCAGGTACAGATCAAGGATGTAACAAATGCGGTTCTGCAGCATGTCCGGGGCGTCATCTGGGTACATGAGCCGCATAAACTCAGGGTTCTCCAGCGTCTCGAGAGTCAGCTGGCAGATGGAAGCCTGATTCTCTCTGGCAGCAACATGCATGACATTGTACCTACATCCCTCCTGAAGGAAAACCACAGATTTTGAGCTTCATGTTTGTCACCCAGAGTCTTGAAGCTAAGGATGCTGGATGCAGGCTTACCTGCACGATGGTTGGGTTGTCCCCTGAACCAATCAGATACCGAGGATTACTCCAGATAAGGTCAGAAAAGGTGTCCTCGTCTCCCTGCTCCACAGCTTTTCGCAATTTAGAAGTGAGGTCCTGCGTACGGGGATTTTTATAGCTGTTTGCTCGCTCTCTGTTTATGGTTTCTGACTCAGAAAAGCACAAGCCATCTGTTGCTAAGAGACAATTTAAGAACATTTAATGTGAAAAAATTACAGATACAACTAATGCAGATTTGAAAAGGAACTAAAAATAATCTAAAGAAAAAGAGACAGAAGAAATGAATAAACTTAAAGGTTAAAGTGATTAAACAGAACACAAACAATAACAGCAACAAGAAATGATAGAACAGCTAAATAAAACCCAGAAACCAGTTAGTTGAAAAAAACCTATAATAGGTAATCTCCCGATAAACATGATTAAAAAAAAAAGAATATTTAATTTCACGAACATTTTCTCAGCACCCCCATGTGCTACACTGAGGTGGTAAGTCTGTGAGCTAGTTGGGAGTGACAGGTAGGGCCCAACGACAGTCCTCAGTGGACAGCCAATGTGCTAGCCTCCAGCAGCGGCACAAACACAGGGCAGTTGCATGTGAGTATAGAGCCAAACCCCCCTGGACTCCAGCTGGGAAAGCCCTGTGAAAGGGCCTCGAACTCAGCAGCTGGGGGGGGGACTGGGACACCTGGCCATGGCACTGCCCCAGACCTGGAAGCACGGGGAGCACTCCCAGAAGGCAGTGAGCCACAGTGATTTCTCTCGGTTAATGACACCTGAAGAAGTCTAAACGCGATCTTCTTGAGGCAAAGTCACACACTGGGCAGAGGAAAGCCTGTTTGAAATCATTCTGGTTTCCCTGTAAGAAGCATCCGTATGAGGCCAAGCAAGGGAACAGAGGAAACGCAGCAGACGGGACTCTGGACGATGGCCCCACGCCTGCAGGGAGAGGGCCTTCCTCTGGACCCCAGCCAGCCTCGGAAGCAGGGCAACTGTGAGCCCCAAGAAGGGACGAGACCGAGGCCAGGGCTTTGCACAATGCTGACGACAAAGGCCCCTTCACAAGGCTGGGTTCTGAGCCAGGAGGGGTGTGGTCACCTTCCCGACTGAATGGACTGTCTGGGTCAAAGCTGGTGCCTCAGCCCTGGAAGCAGGTGTAGCTTCAGGTGAGCAACAGACTGGTCTTGGCATAAAAATAATGGTCCTGAGTCTGATCGGCAACAGGGAGAGGAAGACAGAGGGAACGGGACGAAAGGTGATGGTGGTCCTTTCACCGCTTCTCCCACAGCTCGTCAGCGTCGGGGCCTAGAGTAGTGGCCTGGCCCACTCAGCTCCTCCTCAACTCTACCCGCATGGTCCCCGGTCCCCCCAGCCCAGCCCATTCTCTTCCAGCCGCTCCATGGCCTGGGCTTTCACTTCCTGGCAAACTGGACTTCTCTCAAAGGCAGAGAAAACTAATTCCTGTATACAAGGACAGAGCACAAAATACTTGCGGGCAAATTTGATAGTAATGCCAAGTTGTGAACTGCTATATAATTTACCTTTTAACCCACCATTGCTAGAGAGTGATGCTATTTTCACAGGAGAAAGTAGTGAAGAAGTTTTGCTTGGAGAAGGAAAATAACAATAAATTCCTCTAGCAAATTTCTCAGCATCTTCTCTGCTTGAAAAAGCTTTAAATCGGGATCCTTTGATCATCTTGACGGCTTGCAATGCTTCCTTCTTATCTTCATAAACATGAATCCTTTCTGGGAAAAGTAACAGACGGAAACAGAGAGAGTAACTGGAGCCACTGTCACGTAGTCACACCTGAAGGCCCTGAGTTACCAGTGAACAGTTGTTACCCAGCTGCCCGACTTTTCTCTTATTTAATGTTTCATACTCTTAATGCTGAAGAAAAAGGGACTTAGCTAGCAGAAAGAGCACAATAAGCTTGATTATCTGTGTGTGCTGACATAAATAACGTGATATTTTATACATGTATATAATTTTCTACTTAAGGATATACTCATATTAAGAAATGAAATACACGGGTTAAACTATGAACATATCAGCAAAACAGTGTAGAATTTTAGAAATAATTTTGGTCAGGCAATGCCTTTTTAAGTATGTCTAGAATACATAAAGGAAAAGAAAGTTCTGACTATATAAAAATATTAATGCTTTGCAGGGGAACTATCACAACCTAGTTCTGTATGAGATTCTCATAAATACATATAGTACAAATTAATGCCCATTGCTCAATAAAAATGGTCAAGAAGTATGACCAAGCAATTCATCAAATAAATACAAATAGACTATAACCATATAAAAAAGGTAATCGACCTAGAACAAAATAAAACTTTCTCTCATGCAAGTCATTCAATAATATACAGAATGACTGACTGAACAGATACCTGTTTTCCCTTTTTAGAAAAAAGTGTGAGTTCAATATTGTACTGTAGAGACTGGAAAGCAACTCTCGCATACACTGTGAATGGTAACATCTTTGGGAGGGCAGCAGCTTTCAAAGTTTAAGAATGCATCCCTTTGACCTGACAGTTTTACTTACCCATTAAAAAATATGTTTTTTTTTTTATTGATTTTAGAGAAAGAGGAAGGGAGAGAAAGAGAGAGAAATACCCATCAACTGCCTCCTGCATGCCCCCTAATGGGGATTGAGCAGAAACCTGGGCATGAGCCCTGACAGGGAATCGAACCAGCGACCTCTGGGTGCTTGGGATGATGCTCAACCAAGTGAGCCACACTGGCCAGGGCTACTTAACCATTTTTTAACTAAAATAAAACAATTTACATTTATATACACCTATATAAACAAAAGCAATTATTAAGTGAATAGGATTTTAGTGGGGAGGAGGAAAGAAATTTCACATTTTATGTACTATATATATAATATATACATTATATCCTAATCAACAAGTTCTCATTAATTCTTTCCAATACTATTTTAGTTGTTTCAAACAGCAATTTTTTGATGTTGAAAATTATTTATTAAAAAAAAAGAAAATTATTTATTGCCCATTTGCATTCATTAACATAACAGATGATCAGGTTATGTTGAAAAAATTCAAAAGGGCCCTGGCTGGTTTGGCTCAGTGGATAGAGCGTCAACCTGCAGATTCAAGGGTCCCAGGTTTGATTCCGGTCAAGGGTAGATGCCTGGGTTGTGGGCTCGGTCTCCAGTGGGAGGGTGTGCAGGAGGCAGCCAATCAATGATTCCCTCTCATCATTGATATTTCTATCTCTCTCTTCCTTTCCCTTCCTCTCTGAAATCAATAAAAATGTATTTTTTAAAAAAAGAAAAAAAGGTGATTAATTAATAGTAGCCAGCTAATAAATATTTTTCTTGATTTTTAAAAATTCATGTATAGATAAATAAATTTCAAGGAGAGCCCTATATAAAAATGCCAACAGTGGTTAATGTGGGGTAACGATTATGGTGACTAGATGACTCTTTCTTCTCCTCTGCTGTTGGGATTTTTAAGATCACCTTCTCCTTGCTGTCCAGGCACCCCCTCCCTAGGTAAGAAACGTCACGCTTGTCACTTTACCGTTTCTCGCTGGGGAGTCCTCGTAGGCCGGGTACACCCCATAGTACAGAGGCGGCTCAGTAGAGGCCCTCTCCACAGTTTTGGGGCCGCCAACCCCAGCCACAGCACGGAAGGCCACGGAGCAGGTCTCAGACTTCAGGGTCTCCTCCTCCGGGGGGTTCAAGCCCACTCCATAACCAAAATCTCTGTCTTCAGAAAAGCTGACCTGCTCTGCCGGGCTTCCCACGGTGGCCTGGTAGGGAGGGTGTGAAGGCAGGGTTCTTCTGTGCTCTAATAAAGCCTGAGCCAGTTTTTTCTCAAAAATGAACCTTGTGGTTGCAGTAATGGGTCCACATTTCAATCCGGCGTTGACAATTTCTTCTCTGAGCTCATCTTGATTCAGGAGTTTTAGTCGCGCTAAGATGGTATCCATTGTCATTGCACCTAGGCCCAAAACAACACAAACCAATTCAATGGTTTAAGTAAATCTTTTCTTCAAAAAGTGGTGCCCTGGCTAGGCAGAGCATCGTCCAGCTATGACAAGGTTTTGGGCTCCATCCCTGGTCAGGGCACATACAAGAATCAACCATTGGCCCTAACCAGTCTGGCTCAGTGGATAGAGCGTCAGCCTACAGACTAAACGGTCCTGGGTTCCATTCCAGTTGAGGGCATATGCCTGGGTTGTGGGCTTGATCCCCAGTGGGGGGCGTGCAGGAGGCAGCCAATCCATGATTCTTCTCATCATTGATGCTTCTATCTCTCTCTCTCCCTTCCTTCCTCTCTGAAATCAATAAAAATATTTTTTAAAAAAAATCAATCATTGAATGCATAAGTAAGTAGAACAACAAATTAATCATTTCTTCTCTATGTCAAATCAATAAAAAAATAGTGGCAAAAAAAGCTGGCTTCAGTTTCATTTCAATGCAGTGTTTCTCCACACTCTAGAGTCTATGAACTCCCTATGAGAATTTTCATTAAGTTTTTGGTTTCCAAATCTATCACAATATAAACAAAGTTAAGATACCCAGTATCCGGGCCATTTGGATAAGAGTCTTATCACCATGACAATTACACGCGATCACACTGACATCCAGTGGGTATCCGGTGGGGAAGCTGGCACTCATTTGCTGCCAGTTGGAGTGCAATTTGGAACCATAACAAGGAAGGCGACTGGACAGTATCCATCAAAGCTCCAACTCCAGAAATTTATCCTACAGACAGACTTGCACTTTATTCTGTAAGTGATAGGAATTATGCAAAGACTTACAACAGAGGAGACACAGATAGCTCGGGCAGTCGTCCTGCTGACACTAACAAGTAGCTCATGTTTACTTTTTTGTGAGCCTTCCCATGTGCTTGGTGCTGTTTTGAGCACTCTACATACTCAAAATTATTTAATGGTAATAACTCCGGCTGGTGGGTATCATCACTGATCACCCCCACTTTACAGATGGAAAACCCAAAACACAGAGAAGCTGAGGAACTTGTTCAAGTTATACAGCTACCAAACAAACAGATTTGAGCTGGAGCTTTAATCCATGTATTTGAAGAACTAGCAGATACTCTATGGAGCACAGCTAGAATCAGGGAGAAGGTACAAATGACAGGGAACTGACCACTGTGACTAATGGGGCTGGAGCCAAGGGCTCAGGCTACAGCAGGTCTGAATGATGGACGGATTAGATGCCCTGCGAGGGCCTTGAGGGGCTGCAGGCGGCCTGGGAAAATGCCTAGTTTCCAGTCCAAGTGCCCAGGAAGCGAGTCTACCCGCCCGAGGCAGAGCATATTAGACGCACACCCAGTGGAGATGTAGGCACTGAGCATCGGAAACACCTACAGCACACCACGGGGCATGTCAGTTTTCATGTCTGGGATTTAGAAGGAAAAAGAGGTTGGGAGTCATTAGCAGGACTCAGACATCAATACCCGCTGTAGCTGGACGCTGGTAAAGGGTTCATCCTATTCTACTTTTGTGCACTTCTTTTCAAAAAACTTTTTAGGATGCCGCCTCCCCCCACCCAACTCCAAGATTTCGAAAATGGCTGTGACTATTTGCAGAGGAGAATTCGGCTTATAAACAAGCACTTTTGGGCCAATTCCCCCCCCCCCCCCCCCCGCAGTACCCCCTCCCCCCCACCTCCATCCCCAAAGCTGCCAAAGAACTCGAAGGGGGAGGCCGGCTGAGCACGGGATTCCACCGGGGGGAGGACCCATTCGGATGCTCTGTACGTTGATTCCAAAATGGAAAGCTAAAAACTTAAAAAACTTCAATGCAAAAAGACACCGTAGCCCTGACCGGTTTGGCTCATTGGATGGGGCATCAGCCTGCGGACTGAAGGGTCCCGGGTTCGATTCCGGCCAAGGGCATGGACCTTGGTTGCGGGCACATCCCCAGTAGGGAGTGTGCAGGAGGCAGCTGATCGATGTTCCTCTCTCATTGATGTTTCTAACTCTCTAGCCCTCTCCTTCCGCTCTGTGAAAAATCAATAAAATGTATTTTTTTAAAAAGACACTGTAACTCCAGCCCCACACGGCCTGTCTCCGGGTGGTGGTCTGGGGCCTGTGCGGCCCCGAGTTCCCGGGCCGGGCTGACGGCGTAACTGGACGGACCTCAGCTTGTTCACGGCAAGGAGCGCAGGTGGGACCACCAGCAACGCGACAGGGCGGAGGGCGGGCCGGACCCGACCCGGCGCCCCGACCCGGGGTCACCCCCACGGAGCCCGGCAGCCCGAGGTTCCCAGGGGACGTCCATGTCGCTTTCCACTGACACTTGGCCTTCCCATCGGAGCCCGGAGACACCCAACGGGCGAGCCAAGGGGGCGGCTGGCCGGGAGCCGTGCGGATGCGCGAGACAGGAAGGGCGCAGGCGGCGCGAAACACTGACGCGCAGCCAGCCAGTCACCCAGGCTCGGACAGACGGACGGAAGGACGGACAGCCCGGCCTCAGCGCCGTCTGCACGTGAAGGGCCCCGGAGTGTTACTCCCGGCTTTTCACCGGAACAGCAGCCTCAGGCGGGGGTGCGCCCAGGCCGAGGGGAGCGGAGGGGCCTTACCTGGGTCCGAGTCAGGCTCCACGGCCGCGCGGGACGGCGGGGCAGGGAGCTCGCTTCGGCCCTGGCCCCGCGGCCGCTTCTCCAGCCGCCGCACCAGCCAGCGCACCGCGAGCAGCAGCACCGAGGCGCCCAGCAGCTCCCAGGCCAGCGCTGCCCAGTCGGCGGCCACCAGCCGGGGCCACAACATCGCCACCGCCCTCCCGGCCGCTGCCGCCGTCGCCGCTGAGAAGACCCGCGCCCCTAAGGACCCCGCGTCTCGGGCTGCCCGTGACAATGCCTGACGGAGCGATTCACGGGTCCTGCCGGTGCGGTGCCGGGGCTACACGCGTGGGCCAGGGCGCTCGAACCTGCGTCCGGTAACGCAGCGAGGGAGCGTGGCCGCGGCCCCGACCTCTGACGGTGTGAGGAGGCCGAGCGTGGCGTCAGGCAGTAGCGCGGGCAGCCCGAGGCGCGGGGAACTGAAGCGGGCGCGGGCCTGGGGCGGTGTCCCGGGGCAGGGGCGTGTCCCCGGCGGGGGGCGTGTCCCGGGCGGCTCTGGTTTCCAAGGGAACGACCCGGCCCACACGCCTCTGGACAGCGGCGTTTCTGGCCCCTTTGGCTGCTTCTGGGAGCGGAAGGAGACAGACCTCGCTGCTCGCGTCTTAGCGAGAGCTTTTCCTGGTAACATGCAACCGGCTCTTCGGGGGCCGACCCTCGTCTAGACCCGAGTCCCTGGGCCTCCTCGCGTGGGGCGCCGCGGTTCCCCCTGGAAGCGGGAGAGCTGCCTAGAGTTAAAATATTTTTTTATTGATTTTGGAGAGGAAGGGAGAGGGAGAGAGAGATAGAAACAGCAACGATGAGAGAGAATCATGGACCGGCTGCCTCCAGCACGCCCCACACTGGGGATCGAGCCCCCAAACCCAGGCCTGTGCCCTGACCGGAATCGAGTCTGTGGTGCTCTATCCACTGAGGCAAACCAGCCAGGGCTAGACAGTAATTCAAATGCAGAAAGAAACCCTGAGGAAGAAATGACATTTATGTTTAAATAATAATAATACAGAAACACCAATCAGAAAGGATATATGCACCCCTATGTTCGTAGCAGCACAATTCACCATAGCTAAGATTTGGAAACAGCCTCAGTGCCCATCAGCAGGTGAGTGGATTAAAAAACATGCATCTACACAATGGAACACTACACTGCGGTAAAAAAGAACTTTTACCATTTGCAACAGCATGGATGGACCTGAAGAGCATTATGGGAAGCGAAATAAGCCAGTCTGAGAAAGATAAATATCACATGATCGCACTCATTTGCAGAATATAATGAACAACATAAACTGATGAACAAAAATAGATCCAGAGGCATAGAAGCATGGAACAGACCTTTAAACCTCAGAAAAGGGGTGGTGGGGGGGGGACGGAATGAGGGATCAACCAAAGGACTTGTATCTATGCATATGAGCATGACCAATGGACACAGACAATGTGGGGGGGCAGGAGCTGGGGGGCAGGAGCAGATGGTGAGAGGCCAATGGGAGAAAAAGGAGACATATGGAAAACTTACAACAATAAAGAATCTATATATATAAAAGGCTAATATGCTCAGTTTTCGACGTTCAACCAGTCATTATGATGCGTAATGACCATCAGGGGGCAGACGCTCAATGCAGGAGCTGCTGTGCCGCACACTGGCCAATTACAGAGAAATGGCACCTCGGACCTGGCGCCCACAAAGCAACACTCGGCTTCCAGAAAGTGGGACACAGGCCCTGCCACCACCCTGGAGCGACAGCCCACACTGCCCAGACCTCGTGGTGCAAAATGCCGTCCACAGCCCAGCCCAGTCCAAAACAGTGGCTGTGGGCGCCGGGTAATGACGTCACGTAGCAACATCCGGCTTCCTCTCCCTAGACAGGAAAAAGTGCATTGTATCAACATGTTTTCATTTTTCTCCCAACCCAACTTTGTGATTCCATCAAGGTATTTTTACATCAATCCTGAATATTTTCTTCAGACCCTGAAAATGGATACAACATCAAACACTGAGTCAAGCTCTGGAAGCTCATTGCCAACACGTGTATGCTGAGGAATGCAAAACACATCATCGGGAATTGAGGGATCCAGATCAAGAAGCCCCGTTGCCCGATGTAATAATCCACTGACATATGGTTGTGCCAGCCACAATAAAGAGAAGGTTTTTATAAAATGTCCCAAAGGTGGTGGAATGGTAAATGAATCAGCTGCAGTCACTGGTATTAAAAACAATACGGCATGCCCTGGCTGGTTTGGCTCATTGGATAGAGCATCGGCCTGTGGACTGAAGGGTCCCAGGTTTGATTCTGGTCAAGGGCACATACCCAGGTTGCGGGCTTGATTCCCAGTGGGGGGCGTGTATGAGGCAGCTGATGGATGAATTTCTTTCATCATTGATTTGTATCTCTCCCTCTCCTTCCTCTCTGAAATCAATAAAAATATATTTAAAAATAACAATACGGCAAAGTCAATTATTTACTGGCATAAGAATGGTTGTGTGATGATAGAAAAAAATGGAGGTAAGAGAAGTAGCAAGTTAAACGCCTCAATAATAAACAAAATCTACCAAGTAATTGAAGAAAATCCATTTGTAACTTTAAAAGGAATTCATGAGAAGATTCTCCAATATGAATATGTAGAACTAAGCACAAGTTCTATTGAGAATGTGCTGAAACAATGAAGGATCACATTAAAGTGTGCATCTTTTCAAGCTGATCCTTGAAACTCAGAACAATGGAGATGCACAGAGTGTATGTGTTAAATTTTTCTTGAAACATCCCTGAACCAAGACAAAAAAAATCATATTCATTGATGAATCGGGTTTAAATACCATCTTCGGGGAACAAAGGCGTCATCAAAAGTTAATACACCAGCCCATGTGACCATGCCAACGATTAGAGGACAAAATGTTTCCCTAATTGCAGCAACCAGCATTCAGGGAATGGTGTGGCATGAAGTGATTGCACATTCCTGTTACTTCAAATATTTTTTTTACAACTTTCTCTGCAGGTTACTGCAGAAACTGGATGACGATAATTTGGAGGATGTGGTTGGTTTTGGACAATGTAAGCTTCCATAAAACCCAGGACGTATGTGATCTTGTTGGTCAGACGAGGCATACCTTACTATTCCTGCCACCATATTTTCCATGATGAATCCCACTGAAGAAGTTTTTTCAAAAGTTAAGTTCTGCCTGAGATATATTTTGACAGACCCTTCAAACCATGAACGTTTAACAGATGCTATTAATCATTCTGTAGTGACTATTACTCCTGAAGGTTGTCACAATTACTTTATGAATATGTATATGAAATTGCCAGAAGCGGTAGTGGGAGAACTACAATAAGAGAAATTATAAGTAAGTATTTCTGAAGTTAGAAAAAAATTTTATGTTTCTCTCACATCAATGTTTCTGTCTTTCCTTCTCTCTTTCACTCTCCTTAAAAATCAATGGAAAAATATCCTTGTGTGAGGATTAACACAAAAAAGAAAAGAAAAAAAACAGACTTACGGTCCTGCTATCATCAGAAGCATCAGCAGGGCAGAGGGCTGGCCAACACCTCAGAAGAGGGTATATGTGTGGACCCTCTGCAGCTCAAACGGCCAACACCCTTTGTTCGCCCCCCCTCAACACCCCCCCCATTCCTGTCAACTCCCCTCTTGAGACTAACTTGCATGTGGCAGCCAGGTGATGCGGAGACAGAGAGGCAACGATACGGGCAACTCGAGCCACCACGTGATGCTGGATTTCACAGCCTGTCTGAAACTTTGGCAAAACAGTAAAATTCTTTGGAGACAAGTATTTCAACAGAGTAACAATGTAAGTGTTACTCCTAAAATGTGGAACCCCACCCACCAATGAGATATGAAAATATTTAACAAAAAATAGTTTATTGCACAAAATTTAAGGAATTCCCAAGCACGCTTAAATTTATAAAAAATCAACATGCTTTTTAAAGTTACAATTTGTGGTGCACGATGACATCTTTCCCCTGAACAGCCCCAACTTGAGGACTCCCTTTTATGAGGAAATTTTTAATAGAAATGAATAACTTAAAACTGAGTGTCTCAGACCGTCTAAAACATCCCCCCGAAGACTCTCTTATAACCTGAGACCACCACCATGGGACGCGCCCGGGACGTGGTCATTGCGTGAATAAGGCTGAGTGTCTCACACGTCACAGGCCTGTCCACGTCGTGTGGGTCCCTGAAGGGGGGGTCACGCTGGTCCCTCACCCCAGAATCTTCACACACCACATTGAACTTTTGTTAAGAAAGATACGCATGAAGTAGAAATGTTGTCACGGTGACCTGCAGTAACCCCAAGGGAGGCCTAAGCTGCAAGGGGCTCGAGGAGACTTCCTCACGCCCTGGCCGCAGGCCACTGCCCAGTGGATGCTGCGCCCTGGACCCGGGACAAGAGCCTGTTTCACACCCGAACCAAACGCCTCTGATCCCTCCAAACAGAGCGGGGCAAAAGTAGGTTTACAGCTGTGAGTGCACAGAAGTTCATTCTTGTATTATTATCGTATTATTTTTCCATATGAAATGTTTTCCATGCTTTTGCCCACCCTGTAGAACAAAGCCTCTCAGATCTGTGGCATCTACCTGGTGTGCATTGTGGAGAAATCAATGATAATGACATTGCAATAGTTTTTTTGAAACGTAAGAAAAGCAAGTAAGGACATCAGGTGCCCGAGCCAACTTCCCGAGTGAGGACAGGACGGCGTTCGTCACACAGGATGAAGAGCCACACACAGGCGATGGCGAATCTGGGTTATACGGACTCTGGACTTGACTGCTGTTTCTCATGAGTTAATTCCCAATTCCACTTCTGCCCAGAACAGAAGAACACATCCCATCTTGGGAGGAAGCAGTCAGTCCGGTGGAGATAAGCAAGCAGCAGCCGCGCCCGAAGCCGGGACCAAAGCCGGCCAGGTGCTGGCTGAGCTGAAGAATGGGCACCGAGGATGGTGGAGGCACAGGAGAAGGAAGGCGGCAAGGACAGAGACGGCCTCCCCTCGATGGGTGCGTTCAGGGTGAGCTTTTCCCGAGAGAAGGACATGGAGGCAGTGGCAGGTCTTCCCTGGGGAGTCTGAGAGCCACGGAGGCACAGGGCTGGGTGCCATGTCTTGGTTTTAAAATTAAAACCAGAATAATGCAGCCAAAGTAACTAAGAACATAAATTACCATGTTTCTCTTCCAATGGCACAAAAACAATTTTGTCAAAAATGCTTTCCAACTTATTATGAAAAGTAGGATACATTTATAATGAGTTTTCAAGTATTGTTTCAAGATGGACCCTGTACCAATGAGAGATGTATTTAGAAGTCCCAATACTTACTAGGGACCCTTCTTTAAACTCTAAACGTCTTTGTGGTTAACGCTACTTTATCAACGAACCTTATGACAGCACATTCTAAGAGAACACGGACAGCTTAAAAATACCACTGTTTTCTCTAGGCCGGTGTGACTCAGTGGTTGAGTGTCAACCTACGAACCAGGAGGTCAAGGTTTGATTCCTGGTCAGGGCACATGCCTGGATTTTGGCTTGATCCCCAATAGGGGGTGTGTGGGAGGCAGCCGATCAATGAGTCTCTCTCATTACTGATGTTTCTCTCTCTCCCTCTTCCTTCCTCTCTCAAACCAATAAAAATATATATTGTTTTCTCCACAAACAAGACACAAGACACAGCACACAGGCTGGCATGATGTCGGATCTGGACAGGTCACCCCCCCCTCAGAGCAGCAGATCCGCACAGGGTGCACATGCAGCCACCTCACTCTGACTTATTACAATAAATACTATTTTAGATTTTCTTAGCAAACTTGGGGACAAACTTATAACCCTCAAGTCCCACAGTCCGTCCGTTTCTGCTGGGTGTAAGGACTTCAGGTGGGACATGTACAGGTGAACCTCACACACTCCGGGTGCCTGGTCATTACAGCACCTCAGACCTGACAGCCATCACCACTGAGCCCAGCGTGTCTCCGACCATCGTAGGTCCTGGTGGACACTGCCACTTGGGCACAGAAGGTGCGGCCTGGACAAGCCATGTTGCCTGGGGGTGGTGAGGCCAAGCAGGGCGGTTGGACAGCTGGGCATCGTGCACTTAGACAAGGAGAAGACACTCAAAAATAAAGTGAAACAAAAACAAGAAAGAATGCTCTAAGAATATTTGGTTTTAGGAGGTAAATAAAATAATTATATTTCTTAAAATATAATTTTCTTACTGACATCCCTTAATCCTACATGTACATTATTTCCTGACAGCAGATTTTCAAAAGGCAATCGAAAAGCAGATAATTCAGGTCATTTTTAAATAATACGGGACATACTTTTTAAAGATTAGGTTACGATTCTCAGTATTTACATACACATCCTATGGTGGGATGGCTGTGAAAATAAAAACCAAAGGTGCAAAATTTCACTTCCGCGGGGAGGTGAAGTGAGGAAGTGGGCCCACGACCAGGTTCCCCAGGACCGGTGGCCACAGAGCAGCGTCTATATCACTGGTGAGGGTTCGCCTCCTGCAAGTGGCCCCAGACACCTTCTAACACTGTCACTGAGAGCTCACTAGGGTTTGAAGGTTTGGTCACTTCTGGGGAAGCTGGTTGTGACCTGCAGGTGGCTCCCCTGTTATTTCACTTCTTGCAAAGCAAACGCAGAACTTAAGGTCCCTGGTGAGGGACAATCACACACACTCAGCATGGGCGTGCTCGGCAGAGGCTGTTCCCAGCCGCTCTCTGGAGGTGCTGCTGGGACCGGGTGGCTCGGTGTCTCCTCCGGGGGGGGCCTGGTCGCCCAGGGAAGCAGGGTCCCCCTGAGTCCATGAGGACAGTGACTCGTGCACGGTGACGGCGTGTGCCTCCATCTGGCGCTGCAGGCTGTCCATCTCCTGCCTGGGGACACAAGAGGCAAAGGTAGGAAGGCTAGTCAGATGCCATCGCTTCCCCAAGATGGACATGAGCCTGACAAGCTTCAACTGGATGGCCGTTCGCTCACACATGTGGTGCCTTCAGGGACCAAAAGAACCTCCCTATTTGCACCAGCTACACAGACGGGTCACAGAACTGCAGGGACCCTGGACGCTGTTCTCAGCGCCACACAGAGGCCAATAGGCCGCAAGGCTCTGCACACACGGCTTCTGCTCAGGGACAACGAGGAAGACAGAGTTGAGGGGCTCACGTAGCTTCCCTCACAGGGTCAGAAAAGATGCCCCCACATGGCCATGCCTTCCAAACAGCAAGAGGAATTTAAAGGCTCAGGTCCTGGTGACTTAGGGTTTCTCAGAGCCATTTAGCTGCAGGCAACTCTCACCTTACAATGTGACCCCACTTAACACAGACCTGCTCAGCCCTGGGTGGGCATTCAGTGTTGCAACAGAGACTCTGCCAAGTTAAACATGTGACTCAGAGACTAAACGACATGAGACAGAGCCCGCCATACTTCAGTTGCTGGAGACAGCTGTTGAGGTTCCTCAGGGGCTCCTTGCTCACGGCGGGCGGGGGCCTCAGCAGCTCCTCCAGCAGTGAGGCCGGGACGGGGCAGTCGGGGACCTTCACCGGCGTTACGGGGCTGGAAGGGCTGGCCTCGCCTCTCCGTTCCTTTCTCTGTTCATAAAAGCGCACGGTGAGCTCTCTGCCGTCACAGGTGCTTCCTGACCTGCCTCCCAGCCCCACGTGACCCTGAGAAGGCACATCGGCTTGTCTGTGCCCACGGAGCAGGCAGCCTCAGGGATTCGGGAAATGCTGGCCTAGCAGACAGCCTTCCTACTGCAGGTGAGAGCCAACCCCAGTCCCGGCACAGGACAGAGCTGAGCCCTAACCGAGAGCTCCCACGTGGGCTTTTCCAGGAGACACCACAACCTGACTCTGAGAGTCCCTAAAAAATTAAGTCAATTTTCCAACCCAGACGACTTCCGTTTGTAAGACGTCAAACTTCTGCACAGATAGACAAACGTTGGTAATAAAGCTCTGAATCTAAGCTACTTTCCTGACCAGGGAAACATGCGGACACACTGAGGAGAGACACACTGCATGCAGACAACCGGAGCAGGGCCGGTGACCGCAGCCTTGGGGTTCTGGGATCCGCAGGCCCAAGCTGTGTCCCAGCCGGACTCGCCGAGGGCCAGGGATCTTGCTAACACAGCACACCAGGGCCTCACTGGGGTTTACAAAGCCCAGTCAACAAAATGGCACCTGAACTCATGAAAAGAAGCAAACAACCGAGTAGAAAATAAAATAAAATGATGTGGCCTGTTGTCCAAGCAGAGTTCTCTGCCACTTACTTCCACACGGTAGTTGCTGAACGCGGTCCCACATAACTGTGTCAGAGAACCCGCCCGCCCCGCCGTAGGCCCGTTCCTGAGGCACACTGCTCACCGTCTTGGCCGCGCCGCGTCGCAGGTCCAGCTTGAGCTGCTGGTTCTGCTGTAGCAGAGTTTTCATGTTGTTCTTCAGTTCCGACACTTTCACCTGAAGCATGAACTTGTCCTTCTGGGTCACGGACAGGTCTTCCCGCATCACCTCCAGCTCAGACTTGATGTTCTAAGGGAAGGCAGGTCAGAGTTTTCAAAGCTACAAGATCTCAGTGCACAGCAGAGAGCTCCGTGTGCCGCAGTCTAGGGGGACAGGAAAGCACGGGCTGCTGTCGGAGGCCCCTTCCTGGCTCTAGCTCCTCCCAGCAGTTGAGACTGTGATGCTCACAGTTACTCTCACATCCCCCGTTCTCTTTTTTAAAAATATTTGTATTGATTTTAGAGAGGAAGGGAGAGAGGGGGAGGGAGAGAAATGTCGATGAGAATCACTGACTGGCTGCCTTCTGCACTGGGGATCGAGCCCGCAACCCGGGCATGTGCCCTTGCCCGGAATTGAACCTGTGACCCTTCAGTTCACAGGCTGACACTCTATCCACTGAGCCGAACCGGCCAGGGCACATCCCCCTGTTCTTACCCCAGTGACAGGGCTTCTGTCAGGAGCCAGTGACGCTGCCCTGACCACACCTACAATGAACCCCAGGGATCCTCTGTGAATCCCGGGTTCAGCTACTGAGAAAGAAGCAAAGTCAACTCTGGTTGTCAGTCAAGCCACGCTCCTCATCCCCCCTGAGCAGTCAGGACTGTCCCAGACGCCACGTGGAGCCGTGCGTCCTGACTGGTGGCCTCTCACGTGCTGTGACAATCACGCTACATTTCAGATCAGCCCAGTGGGGCACCAGGCTCTGGTGTCCTCAGCCTCGTCGGCTGTGTGACCAAGATGTCCTTGTGAAACGGGGTAACATGGCCCCACGGTTCCCAGTTACCACAGATGCGGCGGGCACAGTGATGGCGCAAGTCACGACCATCTAAGGGAAATCGGCCTGTCGTGCGCCTGGTACCTGCAGAGCCCGCTCGGCCCCGTCCAGCTCCCGCCTGCTCTGCTGCTCGCTTAGGTCCAGCTGCTGCCTCAGGGACTGGATTTCTCTCTCCTTCTGATCCACCTCCCACTTGAGGTTTTCCATCTGTAGGAGGGAAGTCACATGAGCAAAAGAATTTCACAGTGGCCTTCCTGCACAAAAAGTGCTCTCTCTGTGTCTTGTATAATGTCACACTTAGAACAAATCACTGTCCCTTCAAGCGGACAGGGAACCAAGGGGCTCAGCGTGCCCAGCACAGAGCCCAGCCCTGCAGTCCTGTGAGCTGGGATGCAAAGCTGTCCCCAACATCACCTCCTGGTTGCCCACAGGTTGTTTGCTCAGCTGCTCATCCAACTGCTGCTGCAGGAGCTGTAGCTGGGTCCGTGCCTCTGAAAGCTCTGCCTGGAACTGGGCGACTTCCTGGGCATGTGTCCCCTCCTGAAGCCTGGGGCAGGAAACAAGGCAGACACAATGGGTGCCACCGGACACGGCCAGCCCCAATGGTGTCGCTCACTGCGACCCGCCCTGGGTGAGCTCACCTCCTGCTCCCTCTGGGCAGGACCGTCTAGGAGCATTGCGTGCACGGTCTCACCTGAGCCTCACAAACCCCCAGGATCACCGTGGGAGGAGTGTCACAGGGACCGCTGTGCATCCCTGCACACGTGCGATAGAGCTGCCCTCCTCGGAGCCGACAGTGAGCCCCGGAGGTGGGCACATCCCTCACACTGGGGACTGTTCTCAATGCGGGACCGAAGGGGCAGAGGGGACGGCAGCGTCAGGACTGAAACATGTGGGTGAAGCGCGAGCTTCTTGAGACGGGGTCAGATGTTTCTCCTTCCCAGACCTGCTCAAGGGTGACCTGAGTGCGCTAACTGGACCTGGGGGGAGAGCCCTGGTGGGGACCCTTGCCAGCCAGCCTCTCCTCGGCCTGTGGACACTCACTGGAGACGCTCAGCCGCCGCCTGCAGCGTCTGCACCAGGAGCTCCTTGGCCTGCAGCTCCTTTTTCACCTCACTCAGCTCCAAGGTGGCGGCCTTGAAGTGGCGCTGGTTGTGCCTTGCTTCTACTTTGGCTGCAGCCACCTGGAAGGAGGACACCGGCTTCAGCAGGGCAAAGGCAGGAGCAGCACCCCTTTGCCCTCACTTGTCCTGATGGGCACCAGTGCTCTCCAGCCCCCACATCACCCATGCCCTTATGACCTGGAGGCAGAGGCCTGCACCCAGTTTCAGACACTGAAAACGTGCCCTGCAAAGGCTGCACGTGGCAATGCGGTGGACCTGGTCAGACGCGGCCACACACCTGTTCCCTGAGGCTGTGCACTTCCAGCTTCTCTCTCTCCAGTGCAGCTTGCAAGGCCTGCACGAGCTGCCTCATCTGGCGGTCCTCCTCCTGCTTGCGCTGCATGATGGCCTGAACCTGCAGCACAGAGAGGGGAGTCAGGAAGGACACCAGTGCCACGGCCTGCAGAACCCAGGACAGAGCAGGGGCACTGTGATTGGCGCCACACAGGGGGCGCAGCAGTGGGTGGCACAGGTCTCACAACATGTTACCACCAAGCGTGGGAAACAGGAAGCGTGGAGATTCCATTTCTGGAGACACAAACACACATCTGAGGTGGCAGAAGCATGACCACATGACCATACTCAAGCCTATGGCCAACAGGAGGCACGTGAATCAGGGCTGTAAGCCAACACCTCCCTGGTGAGGGGGGTGATGCAGGTGGTGGGCAGCAGTGCCGCACAGAAGTCTGTAAGAGCCCTGGATGCAGTTGCTCAGTGGTTAGAGTGCCAGCCCATGCATCAAAGGGTCACGGGTTTGATTCCCAGTCAAGGAAGGGCATGTACCTGGGTTGCAGGTTCAATCCCTGGTCAGGTCGGGACATGTGCAGGAGGCCACCAATCGATGTGTCTTTTTCACATCGATGTTTCTCTCTCTGTCTCTCTCTGTAAACCCCCGCACCCCTTTCCTTCCCTTTCATTCTAAAAATCAATGGAAAAATATCCTTGAGTGAGGATTAACAAAAATAAAATAAAATAAAATAAAATAAAATAAAATAAAATAAAATAAAATAAGAATAAGTCTGTAAACTCTCTGATGGTCGAAAAATCCAAGGCCACTGCTGGCCAGGGAGGACATCGCTGAAACACCCAGCTTCCCCAGTCACCAGAGGCTGTGGAGCCTGAGGCAAGGACAAGGTCTGGAGTGAGACCCCTGTAAGTAGTCCCTTACTTACAGGGCAACTGCCCTGGCTGGGGAAGGCCCACCTGGCCCAGCAGGAGTCGCCACCCCAAGCTCTCCTGGGACTCAGTTATGGGCGGACTCTGGGCTGTGTGCACGTTCCCTGCAGGAGCTGTGACAGCGGCACACAGACAAGGTAAGCCCGGGAGGCTGCCTGCCTCTCCCCCGTGGTGCGAGTCAGTACCTGAAGGTTCAGCTCCACGAGGTCGGCCTCCCTCTTGGCCAGCGCCGTCTCCAACACGCTGTTGTGCTCCCGCAAAGCCGCATTGGACTGTCCAAGGCCGGTGAGCTTCCCCCGTTCGTGCTCCAACTCCAAAGCCAACTTCCTATTTGCCTCTTCAAGGCGCTTTATCTTCCTCCTAAAGCCTCTGGATTCCTGAAGCTGAAACAAATGCCAGTGAAGTTATACAGTCACCAGAAATGGGAACAGCCAGCATGAAACGCAGCGACAGGACACGGCGCACCACACCGGGCGGGGGCAGCGCCGTCTTGGGGCCTGACGGTCATGCGGGATCTTTACAGTCCAGCCTGTCTGAGCCAGGCTCCTTGGTATTTGCAACAAGAGTGTACGAGTGCCCTGGCCGGTGAGTTCAGTGTCCCCTCTCCCTCCCTTCCGCTCTCTGAAAAGCAATGGAAAAAATATCCTCAGTTGAGGATTAACAAACAATAAAATAAGAGCGTATTGGTCGGGAGCACAGCTGCCACAAGCCCTCCGATGCCCACCGCACGGAGGCAGTGGTCACTCCTCCTTGCTGGGGCAGGTGTTACGTGCGTGGGGGAGTCCTCCTGGGTCAGGTGTTACGTGCGTGGTGGAGTCCAGCACCTGGGTGGTCACAGATCCAAAGAAGCACTGAACAGTGTGCGAGGGCAGAGCTGACAGGGCAGGCACACGGGCCGGGCTCTGATGCTCCAGGGCCCCTTTCCCTGCTCCAGAGCTGCCCCAGGAGTGGGGTGGCCTGTCCACTCTGCATGTGATCGCGAGCTCGCCTACCTCGTCCTCCAGCTCCAGCACCTTCTCCCGGTACTCCTCCAGCTCCTGGGTAGTCAGCGCGATGACCTCCTGCAGCTCCTTCTCCAGCATCACCTTGCTGTGGCCCACGGTCTGCAACTCCACCTCCAGGGCCTGGATTCTCTCCTAACGGCAGGACAGAAAGGTGAACCGGGTCATGGACTTCGATATGGCTGTGGCAGGGCTAACCTCCCTCCGCGTAGCCCTGCATCGCCCGACCCTGAGAGGCTGCCGGCCACACAGGCAGGTGAGCGCTTCTCACAGCACTTCCCGTCCCTTAAGAGGACTTAACTAACCTGCATGCACACAGCGACTCACAAACAAAACGCCCTCAGTTAAGTCCTTTGAAAACACAGGAACGGTTGACTTGCAGGTAAGAGTTATCAAAATCAGCATTTTGAAAAACCCTAACTTAACTCTGGAGCCGTGTCACGTATAGAAACTTTTTGATATTTGCAACCACAGTAAAACAAAGACTTATATTTTTGATATTTATTTTATATATTTAAATGCCATTTAACAAAGAAAAATCAACCAAAAAAATGAGTTCACGTGTCACCTCTGACATGCGTGTCATAGGTTCGCCATCACTGATCTAACTATTTGCCTCACTCTGGCCTATTACTGAGGACCAGGAAGGTGAGCAACTGCCCAGGTCCACCTCACACCTGCTGAGAGCAGACTGAACAGCAGGTGGCTCTCAGGCTGAGCTCCTGCAGCAGCAGAAGGCAGAGTCTACAGGCTTTACCCTCCCACCTGCCATCTAAACACAAGAATTAACAGAACAGACAGAAATGTTTTACAGTAGAAGGGAAATTGTAATTGAATAAATTCTCCCCCCCAACATTTTATAAAGTAAGCAGGTGAGGAGGAGTATTTAACAATTCGGCAAAAAGATAGCATGCTATGGTAAGTCGAGGAGACGAAAATACACTTCACGAGAGAAGACACAATTGCTAAACAAAGTGAAACAGCTTGTGCTGGAGAGCAATAGGTGAAATGCACAGTAGTTTACTCATGTAGAATTTTACTCCAAGCAGCAAACGTGAAAGGAAACAATCAGACCCAAAGCTGGCAGGGCCCTAAGCCAGTCTGAAAACCTTCATGACATGAACTCAACCCCATGCCCCAGCCAGGAGCTCCCTCCTGCTTCGCGTCCTCCATGCTGCTTGGGGACAGCCTCCCATTATCTTAAACATAATCTATAAGCAAAAGGCTTTGGGCCTGGCCTGTGTGGCTCAGTGGTTGAGCATCCACCCATGAACCAGGAGGTCGTGGTTCAATTCCCAGTAGGGGGCGTGCAGGAGGCAGCCGACTGATGTTTCTCTCTCATCATTGGTGTTTCTATCTCTCTCCCCCTCTCCCTTCCTCTCTCTCTCAAATCAATAAAAACATACATATCGTTTTTAAAAAAAGGCTTTGGGCTCTTGACACTGACCTTCCCCGATTCCTCCAGGATGAGGCCACCTGCCAGCACATGAACCTGGACGCCGGGCCGTGCTGAGCACACTGGCTCGAACCCGAGCAATCCCGTTTTCATGCTGCCACCGCATGTGTTCTGGTTCTTTCTATCGCAGCCTCTCCTGGCCTCACTGTCCTTCAACAGGAGAGCCAAAGGTCTCACCCAGCCTGAGCTGTCAGTCCGCAACACACGCCGTGACCCCGGCTCACCTTCCCAGGACCCTCTGCTGCGACACCGACCTGTCCACCCCAAAGCCTCATTTATTCAAGGCCAGTCAGATGCCACCTCCCCCGAAACGCTTTTCTGGATTGTTTCACACTCACCAGAGCTGACCCGCACACTCGCAGGTGCACAGGGACACGGCGAGCACTGTGTGCAGCTCACATCCCTGGTCACGTTTATACCACGATGAATTCTAGAGAAGAGCTGCCCACACACTCATTCTGCCCCTTTCCTAGGATTCTAGGAGGGTCTCAGGGGAAATGCTCATAGCCCCACGTCCCACCCTGAGAAGCCGCGACGGGCCTGAGCAAATGCGGTACGCACGCGCAGCACGAGGTCGCTGGCGCCATCGGCCGCCTGGGCTCTCAGCTGGCTCAGCTCAGCCTCAGCTGCCTCCTTGGCGGTGAGGGCCTCCTGCAGGCGGCGGCTCAGGATGCTCACGGCGCTCTCGTAGGCCTTGTGCTTGCTCTTCATCTCCTTCTGAGCGCTGCTCAGGTCCGAGCCCAGCCGTGTCACCCTCTGCTTCTGTTCGCTGATGGCCCTGGGGCATGCCAGACAGGATAGGCCGTCTCAAGTCTCCCTTACTGCCTCCAGCTCCACCTCCCCCACTCCTGCACCCCTAGATTCAAGAGCCCTCCCAACATTTTATAAAGTAAGCAGACGAGGCTGGTGTTGCAGTCCTGCAGCACTGCGCTCAAGCCCTGCCAGCAGAGCCACCTGCCAGCACCTGAACCTGGACGCCAGGCCCGTGTTCGAGCACACCAGCTCAAACCCGAGACACCCCATTTCTATGCTTCCACCTGCACGTGTTCCCATTCTGTCGCCCAGCTCTTCCGAACGCCGTTCACATGCTCCTAACCCAACAGGACAGAGCAATGAGCCCAACCACGGGCTCACACGTAAATCGCAGGCTGACACGAGCACAGTGCAGGACACAAACCTCAAATGAAAATACACGCAGAAGGGGAGGCCCAGTGCTCACCTGGCGGCTTCCTGCCGCAGCTCTTCCACTTGGGCCTGGAGCCCCTTGTTGGCCTCTGTCAGCGCAGCCACCTGCTGTCTGTCGAACTGCAGAGCCTGCACAGGAGGGAGAAGACCGTGAGCACAAGCCCCGCCGCCGAGGCAGCCGTGCGGACACAATCCAGGTCCCCAGCCATTTCGGGGCTGCCTCGAGCACGTGGGCTTTGAAGGCCCTGACAGAGCTGTGCCCTTTACAAATGGCAGCTTCAGAGAGGTCCAGTGTCCCGAGCTGCTTGTGTCAGAGCGAGGACGGGAAGGACTCCCTCCTCGTGGGCGCCCCAGCACCCGGAGAGTGACCGTGAACTGGTTCAGGGGCCTTGGCCTCCTCCTGGCCCCGCTCGCTGCCCTAAGCACACCCATGAGGACACGTGTTCTCGCGGCTGCAGGTGTCCCATACCCAGCCCCTGGCTCCTGCAGCTCAACCTGCACCCACCTGGCTCCAACACCGTCTGTTCTCAAATCTCTCAGCTTGCCAGCCTCGAGCCAATCTGCCCACCTGCATCCCACCTGGCCCTCTCCTGGACTTTAAAATATCTCACATGTCAAACAGCCTTGATCTGACATGTCCCCCATTTCTCATCTCAGGAATTGCCCCTCAGACCCAGCAGGCCTCTGCACTGAGGTCTCGCTCTCCCTGCCCTCAGGCACCTTTGGCCTCACTGTCACCGCCAGCTCCACCAGGCTCCCACCTGCACGCTGGCCTCTCCTCAACCATGGGACCTGTGCACATGAACCCCAGTCCCGGCACCGCTCCACACCCCTCGCCAGCTCCCACGGCCCAGAGCTTGAAACAGCTGCTTCGGCCTGGAACACGGGAGCCCCGCACAGCGGAGCCTTCACCATCGGCGCATCCCCAGACCTGCAGGTGGGTCTCCATCTCATCGCGCTCTCTCTGCACCGACTCCAGATGCCCTTCGAGAGCCGCCATCTGCTGCTGCACTCGGGACACCTCCTTCTGCAAGCGCGCCTGCTCCGCCTCCATGGACTTCTTGTCCCCTTGGACCTGCATCAGCTCTTGCCTCAGCTCCTTCACCTCCGAGTCCAGCCTCTTCTTCGTGGCCTTGAGCTCGCTGATGAGCTGGTCTTTGGAGGCGGTGTCCCGCCGGTAGGCCTCCACCATCACCTGCCAGGACAGGAGCTGCAGCCAGTGTGGGCGGGCCACCCAGGGACACTTGGCTTACACAAACATGCTCACCACTTACCTGGGGCTAAAGATAACATATTTCGCCAAACCAAAGACACGATCAACTGAGACACCCCATTATTTCGCTCCTGAACAAGTCTGGGCAAAGTGTGGAGGTGTCACGCCAGCTGCTGGTGCCTTAACCGCCTGTCTTCCCTGGGATTCTGGCAATTCCTTCTCCGAGCTGCACTCCTGGCTGACAGGCTGTCCCTGATGATAAAGCCTACGCCCTTCAGCACGCTCCCTCAGGGGCCATCCCTCCTCAGACCCTGGGCTGGCAACGCTCCCTCATCCCTCCCACATGGATGGACTTCACGAACACACACATACACCACATGTGCACCACGACCTATGTCAAGGCTGGGCCATGTGGCACTGTTTCAAGCACATTAAACAGAAACTCATCCTGTGTGTGGTGACACACACTCAGGGCATGATCCCCATGGTCAGATGCCAACCCCACGTGGATGCATCTGACTCTGGAGACATTAAAATGGGAGGGTGAGGGGCATGCCTCAGAGTCAAGCAAGGGCCTTTCGAAACTGAAGGAGTCTAGCCCTGGCCGGGTGGTTCGGTTGGTCGAGTGTCATCCCACACACCGAAAGGTTGTGGTTTGATTCCTGGTCAGGGCACATACCTAGGTTGCGGCTTCAACCCCTGGCTGGGATGTATAAAGGAGGCGGCTGATCAATCTATCTTTCTTTCTTTTTTTCTTCTTTCTTTCTTTCTCTCTCTCTCTCTCTCTCTCTCTCCTCTCCCCCATCCCCTCTCTCTAAAATCAATAAGTATATCCACTGATGAGGATAAAAAAAAATTGAAGACATCTAGACATTACCTTGCTCTTGATCAACTTTTTCTAGTGAAGTGACTGAACCACTTACAAGATTGTTTTCACACACTTATTTCACATAAAGAACACCAACAACTCAACTTTACCTTCTGTTGAAGAAACTGTTCCTTTATTTTCTGCATTTGCTTTTTCAGAGAGCTGGCGTCTTCCTGCAGGTGCTCCACCTACGAGGGACAGGCGTGCACAGTGTTACTGAGGGCTCCAGGAGGGCCCTGTGCATTCGAGGGACAGGCGTGCATGCTAGTCCCCAAGTCAGGGTGGGAAAGACAGCTTCCAGTGAGTCAGGAAAGCCACCACCACTTCCTATGCACTATTTTTAGACTAATTATCTTATCTTAATCCAAGGTGTAGCTACCAGCGACTTGGTTAATAACAATACAGGTGAAACTCGGACATGATCAATAATGCCTAGAACCAACAAATGTCTCCTCCAGAGCTTTCCAAGTGTCAGCTGATGTCCCTCTTAGTAACAGTCAGTAAACTCAAACTCAAATTTATCAAAAGAATCCGCACAATTCCTGTAACTACGCCCCTGCTGGTTTGATGCACTGCCTCCGCATCTGTCCTAGAAAGTAACTTAGCTTGGTCACTGTCTGCAGAGAAAACAGTCTCCCTCGATTTTACTTCCCAAAAGGAACATGTCATTAATTGTTTTCTCACCCTGTTGCCTATGGGGTAGAATCAGAAGACAAAATTATGCCCTGACACCAAGCCTACTTCCTGCACACCCTGCAGCTTCCTTGCTCTGTCTGTATTTTTAATGTTCACCTGTTTCCAGTCATGCCAGCTGTTGGCATAAGGCTCCCAGGTGAGGATGCTAGGTCAGGTTCACACACCCAGACACTCAGGCTGTGTGCCCACTTCGCCCACTGACACAACTGTCCTGCCACTGTGTCCTGTGGGTCCCACCACTCAGGCACACAGGACGGAAAAGACAAAGTTCCACACAGCTTTCCCGTCTGAGCTGCCTGTCATCCGGGGGCAGAAACTGTGTTCCTGGCAGGTTACTTCTAAGTCCAAACAGACCGTTTCCTGGCTCTGAGCACCCAGTGTCTGACGCAGGCCCGCAGCCACCACCAGCGGGAGTGGGTCCTTCCTCAGCTAAGCCCTGGGCCCAGCCCTGGACACACTTTCATTTTACAAAACAAGGGGTTCAAGAAAGAACCAAACATCAGCACTGACACTCGCAGGCGTGGGTGCCACGCGCACAAAATGAGGGCAATGGCGTTCGCTACCTGGCTGGACTTGACGGCTAGTTCCTGTCTCAACTGCTCCAGAATTTCTGACGTTTCTTCAGCACCTTCTTCCAAGCTTCTGACTCCTCTGTCGAGTTCCTCCCCGCTGCTCCTGGCCGCCTGCAGAGCCACCTCCAAGACAATCTTCTCGTTCTGCAGGAAGCGGATGGTGTCGTCCTTGGAGGTGGCCTCGCCCTGCAGCTCCTCCAGTCGGGCCTGCAGCTCATCGTAGCGCACCTGCAGGTCACCGAGGGCCTGCTCTCGGCCCTGCAGCGTCTCCTGTGTTGAGGTGAACTGCTTCAGCAGGTCCAGGTGCTCCTGCTGCAAGGCTGCAAGCTGCTCGTCTCGCTGGTGCAGGGTTAGCTTCACCTGGAAAAGGGACTAGACTCAGTATGACCTCCCGCTCCAGAATTTATACTGCTTCCCTGTTCAGGTTTTAGAATATCTGCATGGACACTGTGCAGGCAGTCTTCTGTACGTAAAGGCCTGGCATACAAGAACACTCACAGAAGCACCAGCTCTGATGATGCGACATTCAAATGAATTCGATAGACAGACCGGCACTAATGCTCATGGTGAGGACAGCCACAGGAGGCCAGTGTGTGTGGCCCAGGCCCTTGGGCGAGGCCGTGGCAGGTGCTTGCCTGCTCTAGCTGCTGCTCCAGGGCTGCTGCTGAGGCTGCCATCTTCTGCAGCTGCTCCTTCTCCTCCTCGAACTCCTCTAGCCTCCTCTGCAGGTCCTCCTCCACCATCGTCTTTGCCTCTTGAATCTGCACAAAGGCAGCTTCTTGGTCCAACATGTCAGCCTGGGCCCGGAAGAGAGTGTATTTTAAAAAGCAGGATAACCTGATGGCCACAGCAGACCGAGCACGAAAACCCACCACGTGGTGAGAGGCCCAGGGCCACATCCCCGTCTGTCCACGACCTGCACACGGAGGAGCCACGGGCCACTGGGGTGGAAGGCAGCCGCCATCTCCGACTGCTGCGCATGTAGCTCAGGCTGCGTGCTCCGAGACAAGAGAGCACTGACCACCGCTAGGCTCTCCAATGCTCTCAGACACCCACTGTACTAAGCTCCTTCTTCTCTGCCCACGCTCTGCCCAGCACCACCCTCCATGGGGCTGAGCACTAGGACCCAGGCTACTGAGGGTCAGAGGAGAGGAGATACCACTGACCATTCAACGAGAACGTGAGGAACTGAATCCGCACATCTCACCACAGCAGGTTGTTCAATATTTTAAAGACATATAAATGTATATATAATATGAATGTTTACGTGTACATGTGTATTTATATATTTTCTTATTCTTGACCAGTGGCCGGAAAAACAAGCCCAATCCAAAAAAACACACCACCAACACAGAACCCCCACAGGCCCTGGCTGCGGGAGGTGCGGCCCTCACTTCAATGCCCTGGAGCTGCAGGGCGATGCGCTCCTTCTCCTTGATGGACCTGTGCTGGGTTTCCGTCAGCTGCTGGGACAAGGACACATTCTCAAGTTTCAGGTGCTCCAGGAGGCCAGTCTGGGTCATCTGTCCAACCTGCAAAGAAAAAGTAAGATGGGAAGTTGCTGGATTTCAAGGACAAGTGCCCGAGGCCACCAGTGTGAGGGTCTCTGCCCAGCGGTGGCCCCCGAGGGGCGGCTCCCTGGAGCCCACCACACAGGCCTCCCTGCCCACCCTCCTGCCAGCCACCTTGATGCCAGGGCCAGGGGTTTCTGTGCGCCTCAGAGGGGCCGGCTGGCAGCCCACAAGCCAGTGGTCATTCCCCCGAGAATGTGGAGTTTGTGGTGAGACCTACACAGAAGTTCCCCCTGAAGGGTCATCTGTGAGCCCCTAAAGTGAGGGGCCTTCAGCTGGACGGCAGGTGCAGCTGGCGCTGAAGGTCTGCCCTCAGGTGAACTGACCAGCTGTGACCAGGCACATCTCAGTGTCTGACTGTCCTGACATACCAGGCTGACCCAGCCATTCCCGGGAAATAACGCTGGCAATCCAGCCTAGGGTCTGACCCAGGCCATCAGTCAGGCCTCCTCTGACCACTGTCTCCTCGAGAAAAAGGAGCCCAGCTTTAAACACACTGGTGCCCAGAGGAGGGGTCGGGAAAGAGCAGTCCAGAGGACACATGGTCTGCACCTGGACCTTGGAGCACGTCACTTCCAGATCCAATAGGAACACCTCTTGGACAGGGTCTCCGTGGGAGACGCCATGTGCTGGGTCCGTGTCTCGAGGCAACAACAGAATACAGACCACCCCGACTCTCCTCCCTGCTGGACAGTCCGAGAACACGTCTATGTTCCCTGGACAAGGGGGCAATGCAGTGAACACCCTAATTAAGGAATGCTGAGCCTGGGTCCCAGGGGGATTTGAAAAAAGCAGTTACATTTCTCAAACTGCCACTCCCTGGACTGTTCGTTTTTATCTTCCAAACTCCATTTCTGACTTTTGTCATTTACATAAATCTGGCTTCTTTATTAACTTGTAAAATGATTTATTTCTAAATATATTGTAAGCAGAACCAATGCTTGTCTGTGTGGTCCTTTGGCTTAAACGTGTAATGTAAATTTAAGAAAACTTCTATTTTGTGCATGTGTAGACTTCAGTGTTTTTAAAAAGGAGAACTGGGTAGAATGAGAATTTCTCCTCCTCCATTTGAGAAATACAGCGAAATTAAAAAGAAAAAAGAAGCCTGAGGCTGAAGGAGGGCCCCTCGGCATCCTCATGAGCAACCCAATTAGTCCAAAGCACTGAGGTTCGCAGCCAAGTGCGTTTCCGCCACTTCCTGGCTGTTCCGAGGCCTCCAGAGCAGAACTCGGCCCAGAGGGAGCGGCCAGTGAGTGTGCACCTGTGCTGGTTCCTTCCCAAAGCAAAAGGGAGGAGCACCTGGTCCTTCTCCAGCTGCGCAGGGAAGCCATGCGCGCTTGATGCGTGTCAGAAAGAATGTCACAGGAGGGCAGAGACCAGGTGGATGTGGATTTGAGACGGTTCACAGGACGGAAGGTGCCCTCACAGGGCAACGAGTCAGCAGTCAGAACTAGGAACACAGGATGTTCCAGAGAGGGACATTTCTAGGGCCTAAAACCCCTGGTCACAAAGATGCTTACTGTGTAGGGTGGGTGTGGGATATGTGAGTTGTTAGCAGATTTTTAAAACATGTATCTGTGACCTCTAAAAGCAGATGTCTTTTTAATTTAGTGAAAAGCAGTGGCTCCACACGGGACATGAAGGTGAGCTGCCCAGTGCTGGGGGGCCATACCTGGATGTGGGCCATCTCGCCCTGCAGTCTGACCCGGGCCTCCTGGGCCAGGGCGAGCTGCTGCTGGTACCACTGCCTGACACTTTGCAGAGACGCGATTTCCGCCTGGGATGTCTTCAGCCTGCTGGTGAGTGTCGTGCGCTCCAGCTGCACTTGTCGCAACTGGCTCTGCAAGGCTGTCATCTGCTGCCGTAGGTCGTGCACTGGAAGCAAGAAAGCACAGCGCTCAGAGCAGCCCACAGCAGGAGCCCGCAGCTCCGTGTGGATGTCCAGGTCCATGTGGCTTCTCTGAAGAGCAGGGACCCAGCCCATCTGAGCCTGGGTGCTGAGCTACGGTTCCTAGGGGTACAGGGTTAGGTTCTGGCCATGACATTTTGTCAACTGGTCCTTGTCGTGCGTGTCTGTCACCTACATGATTCATGAGCACCACGACTCACGTGGAAGGAAGCTCACCTAACACACATTTTCTCCACTAAACACATCGCAGCCCCCTCACACTTAGGAACATCACAGTGTTTCAGGTTCTTTTAAAATAGCAAGTCACATAAAAAAGTAAAAAATGCAAAAAACATGTCATTGTGCCTCATGTGAGTGTAGGTCTGTTCGCTGCCCAATGAGCTCTAGACAGGTTTCCTTAAGTGCCTTGCAACCCAGAATTATAAGATGATTTTTGTTTTCAGAACTTTCTGGATTTTGTAAGTTTCTTGAGGGACTGCGTATCATAGATTGCCCGAAACTAGAAACGTCTACTGTTTCTCAGCTGGTGCGTTCTAGCATCAGGATAAAGCCCTTGTGACAGCAGCCTGTCCCTTTTCCTTTGATGCCATCAGCCCTAACACCTAGTGTCACACGCTGAGAGACATGGCCCTTCCCAGCAGCCCCACCAGCCGCTCCCAGCTCCCAGGCGGCTGCTCTGCCAGCAGAGGCTCATCTACACAGCCTGCACGGGAAGGTCTGACATTCAGCCGACACCGAGACGCCCTGAACGGGTGTCTGGGAACTGGGTGTCCTGTGAAGCGCCCCCAGGTGCTCTGGGTATGGTCTACCGCCCAGGTTCCCTGGACTCCACTATTCCTCATGTCATTCCACGGTAATCGATCCCCACAGGGATCCGGGTAGAACCACCACTGAACGCAAGGTAGGTTTGTACGTATTTTAAATTCTGTGGAACAAGCAGGCGGCTCCAGCCCCACCACGATGGACTCTACAGGCAGAGTGAGTGGAAAGGCCAACCTCTAAGACCTAGGCACCCCCATGCGCATGCAGAAAAGTGGGCACCTTGTGTGCAAATCAGAAGGGAATACAACCCACAGCACATTCACATGACAACAGGTCGGTCCTCAGAGCAGGGTTCTGAGGTGCACCCCGCCGCCAGATCAGACCCGCAGACGCCGGGCGCACACGCACCTGTGCTGTCCTTGCTGAGCATGCTGCTCCGCATCTCCTCCACTTTGGCCAGGAGTCGCTGGTACTGCTCCTCTGCCACCTGCAGGTCGTGGTGGGAGGATGAAAGGCTGGCGTTCTTGGCCTCTAGCGTGTTCTGCAGGTCGCTCATTGCCTGCTCCAGGTCCCAGCAGGACTGCTTCAAGGTGTCCACCTCCGAACTGAGCGCGTCCTGCTTCCGCTGGCTGCTGTGGCTGTGCTCCTCCTGCGCCTGCAGCCGTGTGTTCAGGGCAGCCAGCTGCGCCTGCAGCTCCGCCTTTTCCTTAAGTGCCTGGAGAGATCGTCAAACAACCACACTAACTGTCAGGAAATTAAGTCCCTTCCACGCTGTGCATTAAGAAGGCTGCCACACCAACCAGTGAGGCAAAGAAAGGTGTCGACAGGTGAGCTCTCCAGGAAAGCACCACGTTTTCCAAACTATCCAGGGGTCTGACATGACCGTTACCCCAGAGAAGGCGGAACTGCAACTTATTCATAAAGACGAGTGAAACTCCACCCAACGATCAGGAAGCACACGGCACACAACATGTTCACCAAACCCCCCTTACCTGACTAGCCTCTTGGGTTAAGGCTTCTAGCTGTCCTTCAAGTCTCATTTTTTCTTTAAGAACCTGCAACATCTCATCTTGAGTTTCAGCCACAGAACCTTCCATGGACACGCTGGAGGAAAAGGCACAAAGGATCAGGTGGTGGGAACACGAGTGATCATTACCTTTACATTTGTCCATACTCTCCAAACCTCACACACCCTTGGCTATTCTCCCCCAAAGGTTTAAAATAAACAAGTACAAAGATTCCAGTGGAGAGCTGCCAAGAAACACTCCCACCACAGTCGGGCATGTTCAGCCCCACATGGCTGGAACTCCCGTATGGAGAGGTGAGCCAAGCACCTGAGCCCTTTTAGAGGCCGGTCTAAAGAAATGCTGGAAGACAGGATGTCCTAGTAGTGCAGACGATGGCAGAGCAGCTCTAAATCCATTTTTACAAAGACAGATTTAAAATGTTAAGGACTAAGGATGAGTTAAGTGTTTTGGCCACTGCACTGGTGAGTGGGCCCTGGTGCACAGCGCCCACCTGCTGCAGATGCTGTCCGTCCGGCTCCGTGTCTCCCCATTGACCTCTGGGCCCCGGTCTCGGTGCTCGGCTGCAGCGGCCTGGAGGACATCCGTGATGGACGGGAACTGGCCCAGAGAACTGGAGGCAATCTCCTGGCCATTGATCACATAGGAGGCTTCACGCGTGCCCGCGCTGTTCACCAGAAGGCCGTGCACCCCCCGGGTGGAGACGCCGCTATAGGAAGAGCTGTCACTCTCATTCCCATCAGCCTCAGACATGTTGTCTCCAGGAAGGGATGAGTTCTCCAGGTCATCGGCTTCAGGGCACAGGCTGACCTCAGACACCACTGACGTCATGCTGCTTCGGTTCTGCTTCAGGGAGCCCCTAGCGGAGTCTGTGGCCAGAACACTTCCACCCGAATTCCCAGCATCTGAGTCTTCAGTTCTGTAATCAGCCAGGGACCGAATTTTGCTTGATTTGGAACTTTTTTTCTCCTTAGAATGTGCTAGGTGCCGTAAGCTGCCCACCTTCGGGCCCCGAGGCACACTGGTGCGCAAGAAGGAATACTCCTTTGTCATCGCCACAGTGCTGGCCCTTGGTAAGGCTTCTGGGTTCAACATAAGCTCAGGATCCAGTGTGCTGAAAGGTCTCGTTTTAGTTGCAGGTTGGCTGGACTGAGAAGGAAAGAAAGGCACAATGATTATATTTGAAATTGACAACAGCATTCAAGATGTGCCACCCAGAAAGGATGCACGGACGACGTTCCCTCCCTGTGTGTGCCCCCTCCACCCCAGCCCGCTGTGCTCTGCAGCCTCACTGTCCTGTCACCAGCGACCATCCAAGCACAGCCGCCAATGACTGTGACTTCTTTACCATTAAAAACACCATCAGCAAGTCCTTCCTCCTCACCCTCCTTTACAGCGCTTTCCTGGCTACATTCCCATGTTTGTGCTTTTAGATAAACTTTACATTTTCTTCGAGTTGTAAAAAGCAGTCCTGTTGAGTTAGAACTACCTTACAAGTATAATTACTTCAAGGATAATGAGCTATTTCCCTCCATTTATTCGTAACTGCTTTCAAAGAAAGTTACATAGTGTTCATCTAGATTCTAAACCACTTTTCTGCCATTTTAATCTAACGCTTAGATACTTTATCTTCTCCATTATATTATCTTTTCCCACTAATATTATAATTGTTTTTATAAGGCAATTATTGTTTTAAAAAAATAATATATTTTTATTGATTTCAGAGAGGATGGGAGAGGGAGAGATAGAAACATCAATGATGAGAGAGAGTCACTGATTGGTTGCCTCCTGCACGCCCCCCCACTGGAGGTCAAGCCACAACCTGGGCATGTGCCCTTGACCGAAATCAAACCTGGGACCCTCCAGTCTACAGGCCAATGCTCTATCCACCAGGGCTTGATTTTTAATACTTGTACTTTTAAACCAAATTCCTGAACCATAATTACTTTAATAATTATATATTTTTATAAATTTATAATTTTTAGCTCATTCTCTAGAGCACGGGTGGGGAACGTCTGCCATGAAATCATTTGTTCTAGCCCTGCCAAGGCATTAGGGGTGAGTTAATTAAAGGGTTGACCACATATAGCGGGCTCATGTTTAAGTTGGTAATTTTGTATGGCCCATGAATGTTGTTGTAAATACCCAAAGGGCCCTGGGCAGAAACCTGCTCCAGAGTTTCCGAGGCACCCCCAGCACGTGGAGGCCCAGGACTGGCTGGCTGCTCAAGCACAGACAGCAATGCTGCCCACCCAGGCGCTGGCTGTCTCTTCTTTCCAAACAGCAGATGGAAGGTTGAAATGTGCTTGTTTCAAGGGAAGAAGAACCAGCGGGGCGGGGACCGGGGCGCTGCTGGAAACTCCCCAAAGGGTGGGAACCAATGAGAGAAAGACCTTTCCAGAGAAGCACAGAGAAGGAAAGGCAGGTCCCGGAACAACGTCTGACTAATCATGGCCTGTCACACACAAGTTCCCCATTAGTTTGCTCGAGAGCAGGACTCACACGCTCCTGCTGGCGCTTCACCCTGTACTGCGTGAGCTGCTCCTCCAGCCGCCGCCGAGCCTGAAGTCGGACCTGCTCCTCCTTCTCCAGCGGCAGCGAGGCCTCTGCTGAGCCTGGGTGGGGAAACAGCCACTTAGAAACTCAGAAAGCACAGGGCACAAAGGACAGAACAGCAGCTTTGCTGTCATTTTAATTAACAATATGATTTAGCTTCTAAACAATGCATGCTGTCTAGTTTGAAAGCCTACTTCCAGATTAAAAAACACACAAACGTGAGCCCTGGACTGGGCACTGGTGGCCCACAGGACCTGTCTCATAAAAGATGCTGTGGGCATGCCCAGGGCTGGGGTCCCTACAGCATCCAGAGGGTACAAGAGGACACGGGGGCCCTTAGTAACAGAAGAACTGAACTCAAAAGTCGGTGCCCATGGCGGCCCTCCTGGAGCTCTAACTCTGATCTCCGAGGTTAGAGGAACCAGTAAGAGCAGTCGTGATGGAGTGACACCCAGTCACGTGAGTGTATCACACCAAACGTGCTTTATGCAGTTACATCTGGAGACAGAATTTTATCCACAGCTTACCTAAATTCCTGCAATAACAAATCATGTTATATTTTTGGCCAATAACAAAATTTAAACTATCTAAACCCAAACGTTTTACTTTGGGTAATAAAGGGTGAAGAATGAGTGCAATGGTACAAGTCACAGGTTTCTGTCACGTAAGCAGACAGGTATGTTGGACACTGAGGGAAATACGCTGATGAGAGCAGATAAATGTCCTATCTTAACCACTTCATAGACAACACCACCTTCAGACGCAGAAGATAAGCAGCTCTTGTTTTAAATAACCCCTAAGACCTGAGCAATGGAATTCCAGTGATTCCACTGCAAATCCACCAACGCCATTACTAATTGGTGCACTTATCAGACGTCCGGTACTTTTCTCAAGGCTAAGTGGTCCGGATGGCAGAAACCCAAAGGCTGTGGCTGCAGGCAGGGAACCCAAATCTGCAAACTCCACACCAGGGACACAGCCTGAAAGTCAGGGTCATGAGCGAACACTCCCCAGGAAGGGAAGCAGGTGGCCGCAGGTCGCTGCCACATGGGCCCCTGAGCTCACATCCCTCAGAGCAGGAATCAGGCTTTTACATGTCTCTTGGCTTAAATGTTGCCAATGAGTTTCCAGAAATTTTAAAAATATACTATGGGCCCTAACCGGTTTGGCTCAGTGGATAGAGCGTCAGCCTGCGGACTGAAAGGTCCCAGGTTCGATTCCGGTCAAGGGCATGTACCTTGGTTGTGGGCACATCCCCAGTAGGGGGTGTGCAGGAGGCAGCTGATTGATGTTTCTCTCTCATCAATGTTTCTAACTCTCTATCTCTCTCCCTTCCTGTCTGTAAAAAATCAATAAAATATATTTTTTTAAAAAATTAAAAAAATATATACTATGGCCTTAATAAAATTTGCCCGTGAAGAAAAAGGCAAACAATCCAAAAGAAAAATGGGCTGAACATATCCACTGACAATTCACAGAAAGGACTGACCAAATGGCCAACAGACCCTCCAGTCATCAGGCAAGTGCAAGGCTCACAATACAGTCACCAGGAAGCACCAGGGCGCACCCACCAGACCAGCGGAAATGGAGAGGAACGTGTCTGGGTGCCAGAGGGGTGGGCGGCAGTGAGCTCTCTCGGGTCCTCGTGGCGCGGTTACAGGACCCCTCGTGATGGGAATAAGTAAACACGCCTGCTGCTTTGGACCAAGAACCTGCTCTTGGGAGACAGCCCTGGACGACCCGGGCAGGTCACATGGCAGTGCTGAGGGAGCAAACACGCCACAATGGGAGCAACACAGTTGCGTTTAAAAAGCAATGACCCCAACCCTGGCTGCTGACAGAGGCCTATGTAGGGTCACGTGAGAACAGGGGTACATGGCCCCACTGTGTGAAACTGTATGTCTGGGTATGAGAAACAAGTGTTAGACAACAGCCTGGAGGTTTCTTGGCCTCACAGGCTGCCAGTTTGTGACTTGTTCACCCCAAACCCCCAGGGATCAGCTCAAAATCAACGTTGATTAAAATAATTCATCAAAGGAAGCTTTCAAAGTGTAACTGTTGAGACTAATTCCCCACAGGCTGCCTGCTCACCACCCAGGATGACAAAAGGCACACACAGGCCCTTTAAATCTGGACCTGGAGTCCCACCATGAATATCGGACCATGAAGATGTGTACTCTCTCTCTGAAATGGAGCCTCCTAATAAACGCAGTCCATTGTGACCAAACAGAATGCCTCTGGAGGTGGTGACTGACGGGCGCTGGGGAGGGTAGAGAGGGGGAGAAGGCGGGGTCGGATGCTTACACAGTTGCGTTTCTTGCAAAGGAAGACTGAGTCTGAGAGACTGCAAAGCTTCTTTTCTAACACTGCCCTCAGCACTAGTCCCCTGAGACTTCCTTAGGTTGTCATGGAAACCAGCCACACCTGGAGGCGCATCAGGACCCACTGGGCTCTTGGTGGGACCGAGAGCCGACGGCGGGCCTGGGAGCTGTGGCATCGGCCCATTCTGACAGGCGTCCCCCTCGCTGGGCCGGTCTGGGCTTTCTCCTTCATCCATAGCTCTGTCCACCTCGGCGCTGGCACCTGGAAGAGAGGGCATGCTGGGCCATCCGATGACAACAACCCAACCAGGTCATTTTGCAGATACGCAGCTAAAAGGACGAAGGAGAACCCAGCGACGTAAGCATGAGCAAGCTCAACACCCTACATCAGTTCACTCTGGGAGGAAAGCCGGCCCTGGTTGCCTGCGTGGGCAGGGATGTGGGACAGGTCGCCCCACCATTCAGAGCCCACCACCCTCATCTGTGGAATGCCCTCACCTCACACTTGGAAGAATTTAAGTATCATTTCCTTTTCATTCAAACAAGACCAATGAGAAATCTTGTGAGTTTGTGTTAACAAGACAGCAAATGAAAACAAATGCTTAAAACACAGCTGACCGTGTTTCTGCTAGGGGTCGGGAACCGCAGGGCTAATCAGAGCCACAGCCTCACAGTCATTTCAAAGTATACGTTCATCCACCAAAATGAGAATCTAAAGCAAGCGGTGGATTCGCTGCTCAGAATGGTTTCAGCAAAGTTGAGCCCCAAATCTGTGCTTCTGCTTAAGGAACACCTGTGAAGGCAGGAGCCCAGGTTCATCCAAAGATGACAATACACCCACGTGTCAAGCTCAGTTCCTCCCACAGACACTTGCTTATACATGAACTTAAACCTATTTCCTTACTCAAAGGAAAATAGGAAGGGACTTCCTACAATTAAATGACAGTAGTCTTTCCCCTCCCCTTATACTGGTGGGCCAGCCAGAGGGAGTTCAAGAATCAGTGTGGCCTGTGGAGGAAGGGAGGGGCCTATGACATAGCCTTTGGCCCAAGTAAACTTAAAATGGGTTTCTGTCACTTAAAATATGAGTCCCAACTAATACAGCTACTTACAGCCATGCCTCCCTACAAGTAAAACCAGAATACAAACAGATGCCTCAGACACAAAGCAGAGCGAGGGGACCCATCCACGGCAAGGCCCTAACACCAACAGACCGGTGTCTGCGCCCTGAGAAGACCCCGTCAGCTTCACTGTGTGTGGGGGGTGGGGGTCCTACATTTCAGATACAAGTCAAGCAGGTTAATACCACTTTCTGATGAGTTCACAGATCTGGGAGTCTCAAAAACTTTACTGTTTATATGACAAAGTAATCACTGAGCATCATATTGTACTTTTGAAAACATCTAGAAGTGAGAAGGCCCAATAAATAAGACTGTTTCCAAACACAGGCCTCATTATGGACAAACGGCAATGACGACGTCGCTTTCCCACCTGCTTATGCTTGTTTACGTGGGCCACTTCCTCCAGCCCCCACGACGACCCTGAGAGGCAGGTTCCACTCATCGTCCCTTCACACAAGAGGACAGTGAGGCCGAGGTAAATTACGGACCCTCCGGAGGGCTTGCTGCACTTCGTGGTGGATCCAAGGGCCGGCTCCCCCTGTGCCCGCCTGCGGGATCCTTGGTTTTGGGCCCACGCTGTCACCAGCCTCACTCAGCACTTAGAAGCAGTAACCAGCAAAGCCATTTTAGGGCTCAAACATGGTTTTCAAGAACCATAATGCAATTTCTGCTACTAAAGCAGTACTCTATAATTTTCAAGCACACACTGCACCGAGCATCCTGAGAATGGGGTATAAAGACTCAGTGAATAATTCACCCCTGTACTTCTGATGAACAAATAACCCACCAGCTAACATGCAAATGTGGTCCCATAATCCTTAGATCACTACTGGACTGTTCTGGATCTGTTAGTAAAATTCTGGCAGCCAACCAAACAAAAAGGTAGAACACTAGGTCAGGAATAATGATGTGTGAGAAAGACCCACAGAAACTTTAAGAGAAGTCACTGCAGCCCCTCCTTGCTGGGGCAGAAAGCGGGGCAGTTTCTGTTCAGTTTAACAAGCATGGTACTTGGTTTAAAGATGGCATCAACTAAGAAAGACACTCATCTGATGCTAAAAACACGCCTTAAAGGAAAAGTTCATTATCGTCTTAAACACCACAGTCTTCCTCTAAAACGCAAGCTGATCCACATTTTCTGTCTAAAGGCAGTGTCAGCAGCACACAGGTGACTTACGCTGGGCTTCATCCCACTGGTCAGGTGGCGCCGGAGGACCCAGGGGCTGCCGGAGGGGGTCAGGACGGGCTGAGGTGCCACTGCGGGATCCATCTTCCAAGAGGCCACCCTGCACGGCCGACACTCCATCCATGGTCAGGACGCCTCAGACTGGGCCGACACTCGGGAGCTGCACGGGCACTGCTGGCAGGCTTGGTTCTGCCATCACCAACAGTCGGGATCCCCGGGGAAGGACGGCACTAGGTTTTCCATTTCAAGAGATGTAATGTCTTATAAACGACTTGAAATCAAACCAAGTAATATGATACCTAAGAGGAGGGAAAATAGGAATAAAATATTATGAAACTTCATTGTCAGATTTGAAGTAACAATTCCAAGATTAACATTTGCTTCCTAATTTGCATCTGTGTAAGAAACATACAAATTTATTCATTCAAAAAAAATCCTGAGTGCCTACAATAGCCTAGGTTTTGAGAATAACATGCTGAACCAGCCACACCCGGGCCTGGTCCTGAAGGCGCTTACTGTCATTATTGGTGCTGGCCAAAGACCGTCTGCCAGGACAGAGAAGAGCCATCAATGGCTCTGTAATTATCACAGGTGGCCAGTGAGCTGGGGGCTGGGGTTTGAGGAACTGAGTTTTCACTTATTAATTTTATTTACTACTTATTGCCTATGAATTTAACTAATTTGGTGTAAGTAGCCACATGTGGCCAAGTACTTCTGTGTAGGACACAAGCCTAAGCGCTCAGAGGACTCCCCTTGCAGACCTGGCGTGAAGGTGCCAAGGCCACTGCTGAGAGCCAGCTGTGGGAACGGGGTCACTGTCCTGTGTGGGGAAGCACGGGGTCAAGGACGTGGCAAGGCAGCCACGGTGGAATGGGCACAGAGAGAGCATCTCACAGGAGGAGACCAGCATCGTGTAGCCCATCCTGTGAGGCTAAACTTAAGAGAACAAACTTTGCCCAGTCTGGCAACTGGTTATCGCTTGTAAAGTGGCTGAGGGTACTCTTTTGTTTCCTGGTTAATCCTCACCCGAGGATATTTTTCCCCATTTATTTTTTGAGAGAATGAAAGGAAGGGAGGAAGGAGGACTGAGAGAGAAAAACATTGACTGGCCCCCTCCCACAGATGCCCCTACAGGGGCCGGGAATCGAACCCGAAACCCCTCGGTATGAGGGCTGATGCTCCAACCACTGAACTATGCCAGCTGGGACATGGCTGAGGATATCATTTCCTTGTCAACAGATAAGGTGTTATTTGTTACTCATTCTGTGAGAATGTTGGCATTTACTTCCTTTAAAATATGTTTTAGCCCTGGCTGGTTTGGCTCAGTGGATAGAGCGTCAGCCTGTGGACTGAAGGGTCCTGGGTCCAATTCTGGTCAAGGGGACATGCCTGGGTTGTGGGCTCGATCCCCAGTAGGGAGCATGCAGGAGGCAGCTGATCAATGATTCTCTCAGATCACTGATGTTTCTCTCTCCCTCTCCCTTCCTCTCTGAAATAATAAATTAAATATGTTTCATATTATCCTATGTACTGTTCTGTGTTTCACATGTTTCAGGGCAAAAGAGATTTCTCTCCAGCTTACAAATCCCACAGACACTGGGATGCGTCAGGCAGTGGTCCTCACAGGGAAAGCTGACACAGGTTGCCTGCTTCTCCAGGGCATTGACTCTGAAAATCTTCTTACCCTGTCCTGTGAACAGGCACCCCCGGGGGTTGGCACCACCTGCTCTACCCACGCAGAGTGACTAGTGATGGGAGTGCAGAGACCAACACACAGAGTGAGTCCCAGGAAGCCTCCTGCACAGGCTCTGGCAGATGCACAGGCTCCGGCACGGCCCCACCACCTCGGCTATGAGAACATGAGCACACTGCTCACCACTCTCACCAGTAAGAGGGAGAGGAAAATAACACAACGTTTTGCCAGGATGAAATGCAATAAGGCACAGGGTCTGTCCCATGCCCTCAAAAATGGCTATTATCATTAGTGTTATTTCCTTTCAATTGTTGCTTGTCCAGATTGATAGGTACAAACCAACTGAATATATTCTCACTTAAAGTATATTGCTACTTATGGCAACCAGCCAAAAGAGGGGGGCCACTTTGAATCTAAGTGATGTCATGGTTTTTATTTCCTTTTCTCACTATTCAAGATAGAAAGAGCTCTCATTCCTGTAAAGGGTTATGTTTGTAATATTAAAGGAATAATTTTTAAAAACTTTTTTATGGAGAGAGAGAGAGAGAGAGAGAGAGAGAGAGAGAGATGGAGAGAATCATTGATCAGTTGCCTCCTGCACACACCAGGACGGGGGATCAGTGAGTGCGGGTCAGTCCCCAGTGTGGGGTGTACAGGAGGCAGCCCATTGATGATTCTGTCATCATTGATGTTTCTGTCTCTCTCTTTCTCTCCCTTCCTCTCTGAAATCAATAAAAATATTTTTTAGAAAACAATATGCAATCCAGGGATGTACCCTGTCCTGGAATCGAACCCGCAACTTCCAGAGTACGAGAGGACACTCCGACCAACTTAGCCACCTGAACAAGGCGACAACTCAGAATTTTTTAAAAATCCATGAGTCACCTGCATATGGCTTACAATGTCCCCGTGGCTTCAATCACACGGACCATAAAATCCGAGCCTCCGGTCATAAACTGCGGAGCTGCACCCTACCTGGCCCTCCTCCCGCTGCCTTTTCCTCCTTTCTCACGATGCCTCCGCACCTTCTCCACCTGAGGACGCCAAACGGCCTCCTCCCTCGGTCCGCACCTTGCTGCTCGCTCTGCCCGGAGCGCTCTCACTCCACAGCTTTGCAAGGTTTCCCGTCTAGAGACGCTGGCTCACAAGTCACCTCCCCCCGCCGGCCTCCCAGACGCCCCCAAGCACCAGCCGATACTCTCCGCCGCCACCTCACCGACCGTCCCTGTCCCTCCAAGACAACGTGGGCTCGGCGAGGGCAGGAACAGGGCCGGCAGCGACTGACACTCACCAAACACCTGTGGACGGAGGCTGAGCTGTCCACCTGCTCCACTAGGGACAACGCCCGGCCCACCTCGCTCTGGACAGTCTCCCCGCCCCGGGAAACGAGATGGAATCCAGGTGGAGGGAGGGGCCGAGAGACACACGGACTCTTTCCACCCGGCCTCCCGCTAACCACGCGACACCATGTGACGCCTGTCATCCTGACGGCCCGTCGGCACCAGGACCCAAGCGCTGCCCGAGGTCCCTGCGCGGCGCCCACAGCAACTGCGGACACCTTTGCCCCAAATCACGCCCCGTCACGCGCAGACAGCGTTCGAGGGCCTGAACGAAGGGCCATTCACGAAGCCAGCTGCCCCGGCACCTGCACAAGCCGCTCCCGTGCCCCCGGGCTACCAACGGTGCGGAGCGGGGCTGGCCCGGGGCGTCGCCACCTGGAGAGGAGATGCGGCCCGCCCTCGGGGTCCGCCCAGGCCCCGCCGCCCCTCGCCCGTCCTCCGCCCCGACCACGCCGTGACGCACGGAAGCCCCGCGCCCTCCCCGGCGGAGTCCCGGCCTGGAAGCCTTCCGCGACCCTCACCCCGGCGCTGAGGAACCGCGGCGGCAGCCCGGCCCGGCTGCTCTAGCGGAGACGTGGCCGCGCCAGAGGCGGGGTCGGGCGCGGCGACAGCTTCGGCCCCCCCGGAAACAGCCTGTGCGCGCTGCCTTCGTTCCGGAAGAGAGAACAACCTCTTCTCGTCAGCAGCCGCTTCTCCGGCTGCAGGGCCGGCATCGAGCCCACTCACAAGCGGCCCGAAGCGGATTTCAGAATATGAGTTTGCGGCTCTTCCCCGCATAGAGACGCAGTGTCCCGACTTGCAGGACCAACTCCGACCGGAAGCAGGGTGACTGAGCTTCCGGTGGAAGTGGCGTGTCCAAAGCGTTGGCCCCGCCCAATCTGTCAGACTGTGGGCGTGGTCACCCTCCCCGGCGGGGCCCGCTGGGGGCGTGGCTAGCAAAGGCGGAGGCGCGACCGCGGGCTCCTAGGTTCCCCAAACCTCCCAGCGCGCCAACAAAATGAATCCTGCTTCAGAGCCTAGCAACGTTTTACTTTAAACAACACACCATTGTTGGCAAATGGCAGGTTAGGAGGTTTCATATTTGCCTATGGATATCAAATTGTTCACGCACTCTTTATTAAACCGGTTGGCTGCTTGTGTGGGTGTTTTGACACGTTTGTCAAAAACCGGTTGGCTGCTTGTGTGGGTGTTTCCGGGGTCTCTGCTCTGTTCTGGGATCTCCGAGCCTATCACAGGAGCTTTGCAGAGAGCTGTAATAACCGGAAGTGTATTGTCCTTTTTCCTCATTGTTCTAGCTATTCTGAGACTCACGCCCATCATATAAATTTTAGAATAAACTTGTCTGTGTATACAAGTCCTTCCTGGAATTTTGATAGGAATTAGAACAAAACTATAGATCAACTTGGGAAGAACTGGTATCTTTACTATGTTGTCTTCCAGTCCATGAACATGGTATGCCTCTCCATATTAGGTCTCCTTTGTTTTAGGCATGATATACCAAAAGCACTTCTCTCTGCTGCAAAGTGCACACACTTGCAACAAAGACATAACATAGCCTGTGGCTTCAATGTGAATCACTAGGCTATGGCTCCTTCAGGTTGAGGGATCCAAGAAACCCTGTGCCTTTGGGGTGCTCAGACCTGGGCCTGAGGGCCAGCTTGGGGGAATCTCCTTACTAGTAAGTAGTAACTAGTGAAGTCTACAGCCACCTGTCCCCGTGATGGTAAGGGGCACATCCTAACTAACAGTAGAACAAACATGAGGAGAGAGAAACAGACGCGGCTTGTTTATTAGATGTGGGAAAGGAGGCCTTTCTCTCACACACACTGCTGCTTCTCAGTCTGTATCAAGAGCAAGACAACCGTTGTATTCCTGAGAAGCAAAAAAGGTTACAATTT